TCCTTTCTCTCTTCTCTCTCCTACTCTTCGCTTCCCCCTTTTCCTTCCTATCCTCCATCCTTCATCTCTTCGTTCCAGCGTCCCAGCTACCAATCCATTGCTCCTTCCTACATCCGCGCTTCCCCAATCAGCCTGCCAACCCAACCCAATCATCAACTATCGCCACCCCATCATCTTCCTCTTCGCCTCACCACCTCTATCGCGACACGATATAGTACTGCCTGCAATCCTCTGATTAGGTCACATTGCCAAAGTCTTCCCCACCAGATCTACTTCAGAACAGTGTACTTGTCCTGTCCTCTACGGTCTAATCTGCCTCGCCGCTGTCTTCCTGCCTGGCCTTCCGAACACCCTGCGTGACTCATCTCAAGCCAACCACGTCGAGAGTTCCTCAGACCCACGAGTCCTTCCCTCAAACCAACCGTCTCAAAGCCGCGTGCTACGTTTCAATTGCAGAGATACGTGTTGAGGGTTCTGCGTCTACTGTGAGGTCAACTTCTGCTTAGTTGTCCATCCGTCCGCCGCGCAACCTGGGCCGGGTGCTGGTATTCGGTTCTTCATCTCGTTCACCTACGGGCCTGAAGATCCATCATACCAGTTGTCCAAAGCCCCGCTATACCTCCTATATAGTTCCTCTTCTCAAATCTCCGGACTATATATCATCGGGCGACTTATGACCTTATAGCCGTCGGTCCCGTCCTCGATCACTTCCCCTCCCCTTTGAGTCACGACCCCTCTCCGGCCCTTCAGCCTGGTGTTCGAAGGCCTTTTCAGTTACGAGCCTTGTTTGTTTATACATTTGGTGTTCAAGTCACGATATTACGCAGCGTTGTTCTCCCTTGGTCCTTCCATTTGGTGTCCCATTGCCGGACATAGTCATTCACTTCGACACATTCTTTCTCTCGACATACTTCCGTTCCTCGGGCTTCGCGCCTCTACACTGGTGAAACGATATACAGATGCACTCATAACAGTCTTTTCTATTTCCTAGCCGTCGTCAATCACCCTTCTCCTAAGGGTATCTGCACTGCGCTTCGCGCCTACTCGTCGTCATTATTTTCTTTTCGTTTGTCTCCATATCCTCTCTTCCCGGTATTTATATGAAACTGTGACTCAACAAGCCGGTTGTTTTCTTGTCTTCTTTCTACTTTATTCTCGCTCTTCATCTTTCTACTTCTATTCTCGGTGTCGAGATCTGCTTGGCATTTGACCGTCTTGGTTGTCTGGCTGTTTGAATTATTCTTGCATCCGCCTTGTGACATCCATCGCCTGCTATAAACCACTGGAACGAACATCTCTGGGAGAATATCGTCTAGTTCGAGTATATATCAGATATGGAGTGCCTGAAGAACAGCTTTGTGGAGGGTCAGCTCCTTGATGGGCGCTTTCGCACCGTCGCCCCTCTGAACCATGGTTCATTTGGCATGGTCTTCCTTGCTACCGACAACAAGACCGGCCAGGACGTTGCTATCAAGTGCCTGACCAAGGGTGGTGCCTCGCCGTATGATGCTCGTTTCGAAGAGCTCGACTGCCACCGACGCCTTGCGTACCACCCCAACATCGTCAACCTCATCCATTCGTTCGAAACAGATGCTCACATGTACCTCGTTTTGGAGTACTGTTCCAACGGCGATCTGTATGAGGCCATCAGGCTCAACCGTGGCCCCTTGGAGACGGAGCACGTGCGTGATTTCATGTTGCAGCTGGTCAGCGCTGTCGAGTTCATGCACGCCAATGGCATGTACCATCGTGATATCAAGCCAGAGAACATCTTCTTGATGCAGGATGGATCCATGAAGCTGGGTGACTTGGGTTTGGCGACCCGGGATACCTGGAGTCATGAGGCATGCGTTGGAAGTGACCGCTACATGGCTCCGGAGCAGTACGACCCTTCGAGCTCTGGCTACTCTCCTGCCAAGGCCGATATCTGGGCGGTTGGTATTTGCCTGCTCAACGTTCTCTTCGCGCGGAACCCATTCGCTACTCCCACCGAATCCGATATCCTCTTCGCGGACTATGTCCGCGACCGCCAATCACTCTTCGACATTTTCCCCAACATGTCCCAGGATACCTTTGAGATCCTGAGATTTGCTTTGGCTATCGACCCCGAGAAGCGTTCCCTTTCTGGTATTCGTGATTCCATTATGCGGACTGTCTCCTTTACTACCGATGACGAAGCATTGGATGAGTTCTGCACCGATGACCGCGAGGTCGTTCCCGCAAGTGCCAACCGCGAGCCTCTCCGAACACCTTCCATCCAGAGCCCGCACATCAACCAGGGCGATTCTTTCCCATGGGCCAAAGCCCTCCAGGCCAGCCCCCCTCAGCAGATTCGGCAGCTGTCGGCCATTCCCGACAACGAGAGCTATTCGGAGGATCTCTTCCCTCCTTCGGAGACTGCTGGCACATCGTGGTTCTCCGTTCACCAGGGCACTCCCTCCATGGCATCTGTTCTGGAATCTGCTCTTGGAGATTCGTTCCGGCCGACTGCTTTCCGCAAGAGTGAGCTGCGTTTCCCCCCACCGTCGGATCCGGTGCCCATCACCGGATCACTTCCCACCACCAAGCCTTTGCCTTCTCTTTCCATGGTCTTTGGTAAGAAGAAGGACGAGCAGATCTCCAAGAGCTGGAGTGATCTGTGGGATGAGGAGGAGGAATCCGAGACCGAAGACCTGGCTTTCCAGCAGCGGCGCGAGCAGAACTCCCGTAGCTGGAGCCACGAAAGCAGCAGCCCTGTCGAGGGCAACGTTCCTGAGCTCTGCGGCCCGCTGACGGGCCTTCGGGATTCTGTGACTCCTTCTATGCTCAACGTTCGCGCTCAGCAACCCAAGCCTTCGGTGCCATCCGATGAGACCCCCGGGAAGTCTTGGAATATTCCTACGGCCCCCACTGGCCTCAAGACTCCCCCTCGCACTCCGGACAGTCCTCCGAAGAACTCCAACATGGACAAATGGGCTGCCCTGGGTGACCGGAGGAGGAACTACAAGTCTCCTGAGGCTTCACTCGGACGCAAGAAGTTCCCTCTCAACATGAGTTGGAGGAAGGACTGGGGCTTGGGATCTTCCGGCTTCGACTATGGCTCTTGGGCCGCCAAGAAGGAGGAGTCTTCCTTCCACGATCGCCGCCGACGCCCCTTCCAGGAGAAGGGACGGCGTCGCGATGCCTGGGAGTCACCGAAGGCTGCCAACGTGAAGGTTCCTCATCACTACGATGGCAGTATCGATGAGGATCTCGACCTCGTTGGTGGCTGGCATGATCTCCACCTTTAAGAACCATGCCTCCTGCCTTCGTTCCCGCTCTGCTCTAATCCGATTCCTGTTCGTTGTACCGACCAAATTACGCTGACAAGAGTGGCAAATTCCAAACAACTTTATCTACCGACAACCAAACTTCTCCGGCTTGTTTTCTTCTTTTCTCTTTTTTTTGATCGATTTTGAAGCGTCTCTCCACTCGGCTTAGATGCACCCGCGTTGGGTGCATCCGGCAGCCTTATATTCAATATTTTATTATCCCCTCTTCTTCTCTACCGTTACGATAGATTGTTTGTATTCGGCAAGCCTCTCACGTCGGAGGTGCTAGTGTTTTGATTCCTATCCTGTATAATATAGCACTCTTCGAAGGAGCAAGCATGGGGATGGGCGGTCGAAAAGTGACTCATCTGCTGGATTTGGGAGGGATTGTTCTGTGGAGGATGTGATTTTGTTTCTCTTCTTCTCTTCACCCTTTCCATTCTTTGCACAATGTCATCCTTTCAACTTTTCTTACCCAAAAAGAAAATGGTTCAACTTGACGGGGGCCTGGACGACGAGGCAGGCGGAGGACGATGGCGGGTGGCCCGGAGGCCACCAGGAATCTACGAAGATAACAATGAAAAAAAAAGAAAGTCATGGAAAAGCAAGACTACTATGGCCATTCATCCACATCTTGAGGCGACTGTGCCGACCAGGCGCAGGACTGGTTTCTTTGTACTGTAACTAGCTGGTATGGTGAGAGTGATACGAGGATACTGGGGATAGCCAGAGGAATCTACTATGATTCGATGTGGATTGACTTTTAATTTGCCTGCGTAGTGTATATTGTAGACTGGGTATCTCCCCATCTTCATTGTAAGTCAGGTCAATGTAGATTGCCAGCTGTCCTGGTGTGACTCACGGGCTCTACACCGTAGGTTTGTCCCATCAACTACCCAGATAGTCTAGTATAAGTATAGCCTAGTACTAGTGGTTAGTGGTTAGTCCCAGTGGCGGGAGAGAAGGCGGTGGCAGGCCTCCGTTCCAGACCGCCGCGGGAAAGAATGGAGAAAGACAGCCAGACACCCTCAATCTATCCTCGCGCGACAACGCCATCTCACACCCGGTGAGCAAAGAGGCGGTGTTTCTGGCGTGTGGCCTCTTGCGCGACGTGTCCTACCTACTTTGCTGACCTCTTTTACTTTCTCGGGAGTTGTTACACCCTTTTATCCTTGGGCCTTCTTGCTGATCCGTCTGACTACTTACGATCCCCTGAAGGGGCGCGCCGGTAACTACTGATAAGGAGCTAACTAACCAACCAACTTGAACTCTCTTCGCTCCGTCTCCCCTCGGTCTATAATAGCATTTTACATACCCATACACACACACATCAGTCCCTACGGTACATAGCGCAATGAATTTTGCCAGAAATACATAATCATATCGACCTCTTATCCTATCTTACCTGCTACTTGTCCGGAAGACAGCCAGAAAGAGAAAAAGTCGCATTGCGACACGGTCAAAATGACCAGCTGGACAGCCTCACAATGGATTCCCTGGATGACTCTAATCTCCACCTGGATTGACGGCACAACCGCAGACCCCAGTCAGACGATATGTCCCGCCCCGCGCTGGCAAGTCGCTGAGGCCGAGTTCATCCAGTGGCCTCAGTGTCCTGAGACGCGATGGGAAGCGGAGCCGGCTACTCCTATCCCCGCAGAACAACAACCGTTGCTGAAAGCGCCCGAGGAGACGCTCTCCGCTGTGTCTGTTTCCATGGCTTCGTCCGAGAGCAGCGCACGGCCCGATCACGAGCTTGATACCGAGTCGCCGCTCGATAATGCGAATTTCCTGTCATTCGAGGATTGGAAGAAGCAGAATCTGGCGAAGGTTGGCCAGTCGGCGGAGAATGTCGGCGGGCGCGGTGCTGCTGCTGCTGCTGCTGGGAAGGAAGGGCGGCGGCGTCCGACGGGGATAAATAATGCGTTGGATTCGCTGGGCGAGGATGTCGAAATTGAGTTGGATTTTGGTGGCTTTGGGGCTGATACGCCTGAGGCGGCGAAGCCGACATCTTGGGGTGCGCGTGTGTCGACTGGGGTTACTGGTGGAGAGGCGGGTTCTGCTGGGGATGTTGATTCCCTGGCGCATGGTGTGCCGCCGGCTGGGGGTGTATCGCGGTCGAAAGATGCGGGCACCACGTGTAAAGAAAGGTTCAACTATGCATCGTTTGATTGCGCCGCGACGGTGCTGAAGACGAATCCGGAGTGTACGGGGTCGTCCTCGGTGTTGATCGAGAATAAAGATAGCTATATGCTCAACGAGTGTCGGGCTAACAACAAGTTCTTGATTCTGGAGCTGTGCGATGATATCCTGGTCGATACGGTGGTGTTGGCCAACTATGAGTTTTTTAGCTCCATCTTCCATACCTTTCGCGTCAGCGTATCGGATCGGTATCCGGCGAAATTGGACCAGTGGCGCGAGCTGGGTGTCTACGAGGCGAGGAATACGCGGGAGGTTCAGGCGTTTGCCGTGGAGAATCCTCTTATCTGGGCGCGGTATGTCAAGATTGAGTTTCTCACGCATTATGGGAATGAGTTCTTTTGTCCGCTCAGTTTGATTCGCGTGCATGGGACGACGATGTTGGAGGAGTATAAACATGATGGTGAGGTTAGTCGGACAGACGATGTGGTGGCCGATGAAGAGCTTGAGCCTGCGCCGGTGGCTGCTGAGATAGAGACGATCCCTACGGTGGATGCTGCAGCGGCAGCAGGCCCGATTGAGCAGAAGGTGGACGAGCAGACGCCGGAGACTTGCCCTAACCCCGGACCGGTTGTTGATGAGGCGGTCATGATGCAGCTTTGGGGGGTTCCTTGGACCTGTAGTATTCATGACTCGCCAGCTGCTGGGGATGAAGGGACACAGGCGTCTCTCAATCGCCCGTCAGCTACTGATGCTACGCCTCCCAAGGGCGACGACGCTGCGCCTCTTGGAAACGAAGCTCCGGTCAAGGAGGCAGGGGAGCAGAAAATGACTGTTAGCCCGAATGTTGACTCGGCCCCTTCGTCTGCTACCACGGCTGGTCCAGAGACTACATCACAAGGTGAAGCCGATAGCCGGTCTACTGGCTTCACTAAGGAGGAGCAAAGCGTCGCCGCGGAGACGACGCGGTCAACAGCGACACAGCCTCCTTCTGCGAACCCGACTACGCAAGAGTCATTCTTCAAGTCTGTGAATAAGCGACTACAAATGCTGGAATCTAACTCCAGTCTATCCTTACTCTACATCGAAGAGCAGTCGCGGATATTGCGCGACGCATTCAATAAAGTTGAGAAACGGCAGCTGGCCAAGACTTCCACGTTCCTGGAGCAGCTGAACGTGACGGTACTTCATGAATTGAAGCAATTCCGCGAGCAGTACGATAACGTTTGGAAGAGCGTGGCGCTTGAGTTTGAGCACCAGCGCATCCAGTACCATCAAGAGGTGCATTCGCTGAGCGCGCAGCTGGGCGTCCTCGCCGACGAACTGGTCTTCCAGAAGCGGGTGGCCGTCATCCAGAGCATCATGATCCTCTTCTGCTTTGGACTGGTGCTCTTTTCACGTGGTGCCGTCAGCAGCTACATCGAGTTGCCCAGCATGCAGAACATGGTGTCGCGGTCGTACAGTCTGCGGTCGTCGTCACCTCCGTTTGGATCGCCGTCCGTCAGCCCGACATCGTCGGGTCGGCGCGCGGGCGGTCACCGACGCAACCTGTCTGAGGATTCCCAGGAAGATGGACCGATTAGTCCCACGCTGGCATACTCTCCACCGACGCCAGTCTCGGACGTGATGAGCTCGTCGGAGGAAGCGGAGAACCAGAGGGGGAACTCGCTGGCACTGCCGGAGGTGGCGCCACCAGTCCGATCGCGCAGTAGTCCGCCTGACCTCAAGGGAGGCGAGGAGTCCATTGAGGAATCATCTAGCTCGGGCGATTCACCCGTGTCTCACGGACGGAATGCCGCGGTGACCGAGGCCTAGTAGTGATGGGGGATGGTCGTGGCATGTGGAACCCGACATGACAGACCAGGTTGCAGTCTGGCTGCAGGATTCAGCGCGGTGGCGATGACTCGGCCGCGTGTTTCCAGGCCAACAGCTGCAGACGAGCTTATCTGGCTGAGTGGCTAGCCGGCTGTCATTCCTGGGGGAAGTGTAAATGTATTGCTGCTGGTCACGGCAGCAGCTGGTGACAACCGGATAGAGTGCAGGAGAGATGCAGGGAATATGTATGTTTGTATGTACACATATTGTAGAGGAGTACGGAGTACAGCTACGCGACATGATGAGATGATGTATATACCCATGACCATTAACAGTGATTATTGAATGGACATTTTCTTAGTTAGATACCTTCGGTGGTTAATTCAGGTAATGGGCAATGAATGAATGACATCTTCGGGCAGTGGTAATGGTGGTGGTTGCCATGACAACAATCGACGGGTTTTTCTTGCCTTCGATTCTTATCCTCTTCCCTCCCACTGCCTTCCACTGACTTTCCTCCACACTGCAAGTCTACTACTACCTCTCAGTCTCTCCAGTCTCAAAAACATCAAATACCTCTCTCATCAGAAAAGTCTTCTGAAACCAAAAGAAATAAATCAAAATGGACTCCCACCCCCTCACCGACCGCACCAACACCCACCTCGTCCAAGACACGGACAAGTTGAACGAGCTCAAGGCCGCCCCCGCCAAGATCAACTCGATGGAATATCATCGTCAGGTGCTGCAGGGAAAGTTGGAGAATGGCGATAAGTGAGTACCACCATCTCCCTGTAGATGTGTATGTGTGTACGGATATTGACTGTTGTAAAGGAACCAAGCAAGCTACGTCTCTCCCTCGGATGATATCATGAGTCCGTGCTCCAAGAAGTTGAGTGATTTGAAGGGCAAGCGGTTTAAGAAGTATGCCCCTACCTCCTTGTATACAATGTGAATTTAATTGATGCTAATGTTGTGGTGTGTGTAGTGCCGGCAAACCCCAGTCCCTCTTCGCCAAGCTCGGCAAGAAGAATTTCGAACAGCAGTCGTCGGCCCAGAAAGAAAACACCGAGGCATGATTGATTAGATCGTCTCCGGGTGGAAAAGGATACATCTTTCGGTGTTTGCGCCGGTCGCAGTACTCCGATTGTTGATGATCCAGTAACCGGGGTGATTGATTGCTTCTGTTGTTTTTCTTAATTTGCATTGGTTTGCTCTGGGTCGGTTGTGGTGTTTGTTGGTTCGGTTTGGATTGATTGGGTTTATGAGAAAATCAGGGCTCGATATGGGATTCGGCCATGCTTTATGCTTTTCTTTTTCTTTTCTTACGCCTTTACTTCTTACTGCTCTATTGTCACATCAATCACTTGATTGATAACTTCTTCATATTGATAACTATGGATGGTTAATGAATGCAATGCGTGAATGTGCTGTTGCTGACTCATCGGCCGATCAGCCGAGGTTCGGTCGGCTGCTTCTCCGCAACCTCGATACTCCGCATTACTTCCTCAGCTTATAACCCCATCCTCCCTATTTCACATCCATTTTCTCTTTTAATCATATCATCATACTTCCAATCAATTAATTCTAGTATCCACAGTAGTCTATCATGTCAGCCTCCACCCGCATCCCCGTCATCGCTCAACCCTTCGTCAGCGACCGGGCCAAGCGTACCCTTGACCAAGTATTACCTCCCCATACCTCCTTCCCACAGCTACATCCCCCACACCCCCCATTCACCACCCCCAACCAAACACAATATTAATAATGTATAGGTCGAACAATTCGTCGAAAAAGAATGTATCCCCTCTGAAGCCATCTTCCGCGCCCAACTGGGCACCGGCTCCCAACGCTGGTCGACCTACCCAGCCATCATGGAGACCTTGAAACAGAAGGCGCGCGAACAAGGTCTCTGGAACATGTTCCTGCCCAAGAACCACTTCGCGCAGGGAGCCGGGTTCAGCAACCTCGAGTACGGACTGATGGCAGAGTACCTGGGCAAGAGCACGATTGCATCAGAGGCGACGAACAACGCCGCCCCGGACACAGGCAACATGGAAGTCCTGGCGAAGTACGGCAACGAGCAGCAGAAAAAGCAGTGGTTGGAGCCACTGCTTGAGGGCAAGATCCGGTCTGCCTTCCTCATGACGGAGCCGGAGGTCGCGAGCAGTGATGCTACTAATATTCAGTTGGATATTAAGAGGGAGGGCGATGAGTGGGTTTTGAATGGATCTGTATGTCTCACTCTCCCCCTCTCTTTCACTTCTTACCTTCTCTGCATTACTATATACTCTCCGAGTATACATGATATATATATACTAATGCTGGTATAGAAATGGTGGTCCTCCGGCGCTGGAGACCCCCGCTGCGCCATCTACCTGGTAATGGGCAAGACAGACCCCACGAACCCAGACCCCTACAAGCAACAATCCGTGATCCTCGTCCCAGCACACAACACCCCCGGCATCACCGTCCACCGCATGCTTACCGTCTACGGGTACGACGACGCGCCGCACGGCCACGGCCACATCACATTCAAGAACGTGCGCGTGCCCGTCTCCAACATCGTCCTCGGCGAAGGCCGCGGCTTCGAAATCATCCAAGGCCGACTCGGCCCCGGCCGCATCCACCACGCCATGCGCACCATCGGAGCGGCCGAAAAGGCCCTCGAATGGATGATTGCGCGCATCAACGACGAACGCAAGAAGCCCTTCGGACAGAGCCTCTCCTCGCACGGCGTGATTCTGGAGTGGGTAGCCAAGTCACGGATTGAGATTGATGCTGCGCGGTTGATTGTGTTGAACGCGGCGATTAAGATCGATCAAGGGGATGCGAAGAGTGCGTTGAAGGAGATTGCGCAGGCGAAGGTCATGGTGCCGAGTATGGCGTGCGGGGTTATTGATCGTGCGGTGCAGGCGTATGGCGCTATGGGCGTGTGTCAGGATACGCCGTTGGCGTATATGTGGGCTTGGGTGCGGACGTTGAGGATTGCGGATGGGCCCGATGAGGTGCATTTGTTGCAGATGGGCAGGAGGGAGAATAAGAGTCGGAAGGAGGAGGTGAGGAGGAAGTTGAAGTGGCAGGCGGAGGAGACGGAGAAGTTGTTGGGTGTTACTGCTGGTGGAAGGAGTCGGTTGTAAGAAGTTCTTGATTTTATGGGTGGATGATGTGGGTGAGGGTGGTATAGGATAGTATGTTGATTTGCATGCAAAATCTCATGAATCATATTCATCATGCACCGTCCCGATATAGGACTGCTCTAAATAACATAAATGGATATACGAAACGTCATCATCTCCCTCCTTGCCTCTATCCCTCCCTGTCCACGTACTAAATCAAGTTTAAGTACGCCATAACTAATCCCATAGTCATCGTGTAATGCAACCTAAACTTTCCCCATCCAAACCTTATCAAACGAACAAAAAAATAGAAAACCTGGATATAGACTCGCCCGCGAGCAGCTGCTAATAATCCTCATCCGCCGCATTCTTGCGCACCTTCTTAGCCCGCCGCTTATTCGCCTTGAAATGCTTCTTCGACGAACCGCTCTTCACCTCCGATACATCGACTCCGCGCTCCAAAGCAACCATCATGCGCTCCTTACGACCTGTCAGCTGCTTGCGCATCTCCTGGCCCTGCTCCGTGTACTGGGCATTGAAAGGAAGGGTGAGACGGCCGGTAGAGGTCTTGGCGCCGGGGCCGAAGAAACCCGAGTCGAGGTTGCGGGATCGCGCACCCTTCTCGACCGGCTTGAGGAGAGCGAGCAGTTCCGGGTCTGTGACCTCCTCGTTCTGGAGCATTTTGGCGAGTTGCGCTTGTCGCCGGGCCGGCAGGTGGGCCATGTCGTAGAGGTCTTTGTTGAATTCAATAGGGTCAATGGGGTCGGAGCCTTCGGGCGTGGGCGGCGGGTGGCAGAAGAGGAGCTTGCCGTTGACGTAGTCCTTGAGGATGTAACGAGCCGCGCGCGACTCGTCGGGCTGACCCTGGCCGGTGGTGGCGAAGCCACGGGCGCGGGCATAGGCGCGAAGAAGTTCGTGGGAAGTGGGGATGCCAGTTCCTCCTTCTTCGATGGGGCGGGTGTTGATCTTCACGCCGTAGACGTTCTCGACAAAGTGCTTGGGAATGCGTTGGGCGACGAGGGCGGCCGGGCCGGTAAACTCGCGCTGCTGGTCGATGGGGAGCACACCGTTGACGACCAGCTCAGCCTTGGTGGTGGCAAAGTTGGGGAAGACGAGACCGGGACAATCGCAAAGCATGATCTCGGGAGACAGGTAAAGAGTCTGGAAGTGCTTGGTCTTACCGGGGGTGGCGGAAACGGAGACCTTCTTGGCACCGAGCAGGGCGTTGATCGTGCTGGATTTACCGACGTTGGGGTATCCGACCAGACCGATGGTCGTCTTCTTCTTGACCGGCCCCTCGGGCGAGTCGTTGTCGGGAAGAGTTTCGGGGGTATTGGAAAGGAAGAGCTCTTCCAGTTCTTCGACATCAAGAATCTCTGTGCGTCGGGAAGAGCTGGAGCTGGCGCTGGGGTTGAGTTCAAGACCACCGTCGTGCTCTTCTTGAGGCTCTTCGCCGTCCTTAATGTCCAGAGACTTGGCACCCTCAGCCGACTGCTCCTCCTCAGGAATGTCCTCTTCGCTTTCGTCCTCCGAATCGAGACCCTGCTGGAGGCGTTCGTTGCGCTCCTTGGCCAGATGGGCGGAGAAGAAACGGAAGCTGATGTTCTGGCGCTCAAAGTGGTCAGCCCACATGGCACGTTGGGCCTCAGTCAGCATGTCGGCCTTGTTGACAAGCAGCAGGTTTTGCTTCTTGGGGTCGATCTCCTTGACGTAGCTTTCCAAATCCTCAGAGCGGTAGAGCAGCGGGTTACGGGCATCGACAATCTGGACTACCAAATCGGAACGTTCAATAACACGCCACAGCTGGCGCCAGACCTCCAAGTTGCGCTCGAAAGGAGTCATCAACAGATCCTGGTTCTCCTGCAACTCGGCCAGGCCACGACGCCAATTCAGGAAACTCTCGCGCTCCATCAGCTCCAGTTGCTGACGGGTGGTGGACTGGTCCCACTTGGGCCGACGGGGAACGGTCAGACGGTTCTTGTTCTGCTTGTGCTTCTTCACGGCGGACTTCTCTTCGGCAGCGGACAGCAGGTAGGGGTTCTTCTGGTCGGTGTGGATGATCTTGACGTTGTTCATCTTCTCGGCGGTGAAATCGGTGCCGGCCAGTTCGGCGGTACTGAGGAACTCATCGAGGGCAGCCTGCTCGGTAATACTGCGCATCTTCACCCAAGCAGCTTCGGTGGGAGCGTTGGTGATGTAGGTCTCGCCCTTTTCGTTCTTGCGGGCAATGCCGGCATTGTGCGAGGCCTTTTTCATGGAGGAGGCCTTGCCTTTGCCGAAACGGTCGTTCATCAGGCTGTTGCCCAGCCCGACGGAGTTCTTGGATTTGGCGAGCACCATGGTGACGGTTGTCTCTGTACCTGGGGGGTAATGAGAGGAAGAGACACCAGGGATGGTGGAAGATGAAGAAGAGAAGAAGAGAAAAGAAGATTATTAAGAAAGGTTTGATAAAAACCCAATCGGGCAATTTTCGTTGAACCCCGCGCGGATAAGATAAGGCTGACTCAGCACTTTCTTGCAGTCATTCAGGCAAACTACAAGGAATGAGGAGATATAAAAGTGATATAGAAGGAAGTAAATAAAATTATAAACCCTCTCGATACAATGAAATCCAATAATATCAGCAGTGGTGGTGGTGAGGACCTTTCGCGATAAGCGGCACGTGACCATCCCACGACCGCGATTTTTCTGCCGAAATTCAGTCCAACATTTAATCTTCATCTTTGAGCTTCATTCTCACCATCACAACTATATCCCCTCCCTTCTCACTTTTCTCCCTGAGTATCTCTCCCGGATAACCGGTTACCGCCCAAAATGCCTCCCCGGAAGCAGTGGATGTAGGTTGCCCCTCCACATTCACCTACTCAAATCTATGTACCCAACTAACCCACTCTCAGCGACAAGAAAACCGCAACTACCTACCAACTCTTCCACCGTTCCCAACATGACCCTCTCATTCACGATCCCTCTGCTGACGACCGCGTCCTGCACCCTGTCTACGGTCCTCCCATCACCCCCAGTGAATCTTCCTCCGCCTCCAAGCACCGCGGCCAAAGTCTCGCCGAGCTGAATCAAACCTTCGGCGATGCCGCGCGCAAAAACGAAGGTGAAGCCGCCAACTACGGCATTTTCTACGATGACTCGCAATACGACTACATGCAGCACTTGCGCGAGCTGGGCACCGGCGCCGGCGACGCTTACTTCGTCGAAGCCAAGACGAAGGGCAAGGACAAGGGCAAAGGATTGAAGCTGGAGGATGCTTTGAAACAGGTATCGCTGGATGATGGGCGAAGCGAGTTTGGTGGCACCGAAAGCGTCTACAGCTATGACATGCGCTCGACGGCGTCTTCCTACGTGCGCAAACCCACCTACCAGGACCAGCAGAACGTGCCCGATGCTATTGCGGGTTTCCAGCCGGATATGGACCCGCGGTTGCGCGAAGCCTTGGAGGCGCTGGAGGACGAGGAGTACGTGGATGAAGATGACGAGGAGGACGTCTTCGGCCAGTTGACTACGCGGGCAGAGGAAATGGACCAGGGTGATTGGGAGGATACCATCTTCGACGATGTCGAGGAAGAAGACGATGGATGGGAATCCGATGCGACAGAAAAGGCCCCCGTGCAGATGGACACCACGGCCGCAAAGGCCCGCTACCAAGCCTCAGAGCAGGAGGATAAGCCCGGCGAGCTTCCCGAACACAACGAGCCCGCGCCCGACATGCACCCCGAAGACCAAGGCTGGATGCGCGAATTCGCCAAGTTCAAGAAGGACGCCAAGTCTGGCAAAACAGCCGGCGTCCCCGCCGGTCCTCCCAGCGTCGTCCCCTCCCATCAGGGCAGCACCCTCGCCTCGACCGTGTTCACCGTCGGAGGCACCCCCATCCGCCGCAAGAAGCGCAAGGGCGCCCTCACCAACCCCTCCGCCTACTCCATGACTTCGTCCTCCCTCGCCCGTACAGAAGGCCACCGTCTCCTCGACGACCGCTTCGAGCGCGTCGAAGCCCTCTACTCCCTCGACGAGGAGGATGAGTTCGACGACAACATGTCCATGGTCAGTGGAATGACCGGTATGACCGGTATGACTGGTGTCTCGGGCATTTCGACTGCCTCGTCTCAGGCACCGAGTCTCGTTGACGCGAACGGTGATGCCGTTCGTCCTTCCCACAACTTCAACAACATCATGGATGATTTCCTTGCTGGGTGGGATGACAAGACGAGTTCCCAGGCTAAGCGGAAGGGCGCAAAGGCGAAGCGCGGAAAGAACGGTAATGAGGCGATTGGCATTCGCATGCTGGATGAGGTTCGGCAGGGATTGGGCCCTGCTAGGGTTACTGGGAAGGTGTCGGGCAGGGCGTAGTGGATATTCCTCACCTGAGTGAGTGAGTGAGTGGAATGTGAGTGATGGGTATGCTTGAATGATTGCAACGATACCAATTTATCTATCATTTGGTGGGAATAAAAATGCGGGATTGGCGTTACGGTGTGCATGTGTGTGTGAGATGATTGCATTGCTTGCCTGGTGATAGACCACTACTATTTTATCATATAAAAGTTTCGGGTTCACACTACTTGATCATTACTCTTGAATTACCCGGTGTAGATGTAGACTCTATCCCATACTGTACATTCGATATAATACACGGGGTATACTATCTATCTATCAAATACATCGCATCACACATAACCCATATAGGTACCTATACTATAACGCCCCTCCCACCTTCTCAACAATCCACATCGCCAACCTTACCCTCCAACTAACCCTCCTCTCCGTCCTCCTCAAATCCTCTCGTGAAATGGCCTTCGCATCCTCCTGCAGCCGCTCCGTCTCGGCGCCCAACTGACGCTTCAGCTCTGCATCGCCCGTGACAACGAGCGCTCCCACCTCCAGATCCAGACTATAGCTGCGCTTCGTGTAGTTACTGCTACCCACGAAGGTCAGACTGGGATGTTCCTCCTTGGGGAGGGTAATCCAGAGGCCCTTAGCATGGTAAGTCCAGCCACCGGGCTCGCCGACAGTGCCGCGGCGCCATTCTTTCAGCTGGATGGAGTTGGTGCGCTGGGCGTCGGCGACGCGATCAAGAAACCGCGCGGACAGGTGCGTGTATGCTGCCGGCAGCATGCCAGAGATACCGGGAGAGCCGTAGAAGCCGTTGGCCCAGGGGGAGGCGGTTAGGACGGTGCCTCGGGTGGTGGAGTCGGTGTGGGAGGTGGAGGTGCTGGCGATAAGGAGAGAGGAGAGGACAGGGTGGATGTTGAAGTAGCCGGCTGTGAAGAGCCAGCGGGCGCCGGAGAAGGCGGGCGAGGTGGACAAGAGACGGAGGATGGTGGTGACGGCGGGGAATTCGGTCGAGGTGTCGTTGGATTTGAAGAGGGAGGTAAATTGAGCGACGGGGTAGATGTAGGTTTGGTCGGGGGATTTGGGGGACAGAGTGGATTGCTTCAGTGAGGGCTGGATGAGAGGGCTCAGGACGGTGGATGAATAGGTGATGAAGTCCTCCGGATCGTCGAGAGGTGAAGGCGCACCGTTAGATGCGGGCCAGTTGAGGAGGTAGCCTGCGGCGTTTTGAGAGTCGGGGAGGACTTGGAAGCTGAGACTGCATACTGCATTGTGGATGCCGGCGTAGTAGTCGGTCAGCTCCTTGGAGTGGAAGACGTGGTATCGGTCCAGGCGGTTCGTGAAGTAGTCGCTGGAGAGATTTGCTCTGGGGTTCTGTTAGCGTCCATGTAGTATCGCCGGAGCATCGAACATACCCTGACAGAATGATTTCCTCGTCAAAGCCGTATAGCTTCATGTGCTGGAGACCCCAGCCCTCGTTGATCCGACGAGGCACCCATTTCTTCTTCAACCCGGTCAAATTCGGGGTGTGGAACATGCGGATTTCCACTCTATCCGCACCGTGTTTCTCAACCAGAGAAGCCAATAGCGACGCACATGAAGGGTTGGGCGTTTCGCGCGTTCCTCGTAGAGCGTCCGTGAGGATGGAGACCTTGAGCTCGGGGTTGGCCGCGAGAGCGTGGTCCAACGTCTCGATCAGGTCATGCTCCGTCTTGCCGATGTACAACGTTGAGAGGTAGATACGTTTGCGAGCCTTCTTGATTTTGTCCTGTAGAATGGCACATGCTCGAATTAGCCGCAATCCACGACGGTTAAAGTCCGAGATATCCCCGTACCTTGAGCGTGTTGTAGAAGCTAGCCGGGGAGTTCAAGATTGTAATCCGCGACGCCGGCACCTCGAAGCACGGCGAAATGCGATCCAACTCGGTCGTGATGCTCCCTAACGGCGACACAGCTGAGGTCGCAGGCGAGCTGGAACTGGCATGGCAAGTGTTGGCCGAGAATTTGCGCTCGTATAGTAGGACTCTTCGGGCAGCTGGTCTGCGTGCAGCACATCGCAGGGTATTACCCCCAATTCGTCCGAACATGATCCCTCCCTAGATAACCTCGAAGAAGCGACAGACCCTCAGGGAATAAAGTGCGATTGCCAGAGTAATGGTGGAAGTGTAGAAATATTGAATCGATGGACGAGCGGATGCTGCAAACCCGACAAACAGCGACCCGCGCTAGACCGGATCGGGACGGCTTCGACCTCCGGGCGGAAAGCGAGCGACGCAAGAGTCGAAGTCGAACCCGACCTGTTCTCAGTTCCAGCCATTGCTGCCCCTTTCGCTGCTCTGCACACAAGATGTCGACCATTCTTAGGACGCTGCGCAATCTGAGACGGATTGGCATCAAGGTGAGATCTTTTACGGTTCTTCCGGAGGCATCACGGATGAGTTGCTAACTGTATCCCCTCACAGGATTATGGCCACCAAATGCAGGTATGCTTTCGGATGCTGGGAAAGGAGAAGCTTGTGGAGGAGTGAAATGGATACTGACGAGACGTGCTATTTGCTGCAATAGTACATTGGTGAGTAGACTGTTGGCAGGTGGTCATGGCAGTTAAGACTAACGCCATGTGATTCTAGGTGATACCAAGGCCGGTACCTTGATCGGTGTTGACCGTTACGGCAACAAGTACTTCGAGAACATGGAGGAGGAGCTTCCTCGTGGGTGATGCTGATCTTGGGTCCATAATTGTCGCTGACCATGCGCAGTCCGTACCCGCTGGGTCGACTACAAGGAAAAGGAATACGACCCCTCGCAGCTTGAGCCTGGCTGGTGAGATTCTTCGCAGTTGATTGCCATATGCGTCGTGCTGACTTTGCTAGGCACGCTTGGATCTCCTACATGGTGGATGCTCCCCCCACTGCCGACAAGATCATGCAGACCGGTGTCCGCAGCTGGGAGCTGCCTGAGCACAGGCCCAACCTGACCCTCAGCCGTGCTGCTTTCAAGACCTACTCTACGTGAGTTTTCTAGTCGATTGCTAGTCTAAATACCAAAAGCTAACGAGTACAGTACCCGCCCCAAGTACTCCGCCTGGACTCCCGTTGCGGCGCCCCGGTAGACGTCGGTAGAGCGTTGGCCTAGAAATCAGACCATGTTCGAAGATGTGTAAATAAATAAGATGTCCTACTTTCCGTTTGAACCATCGCGATTGTCACAATTAGTATCCCCATTGACCTGCCAATTCTATACAGTAGTCCGTAGTCTAATTATGCACATGAGGATATCACCGAGGTATCACAGCAACCAAATGCCAAATCAAATGCCACAAAACAGCTCCCTTGACGATATAGCTACAATAATCAGAGAACGTATATACCAGAGCCGATATTGGACCAGTGTCGGATGGGTCGCCGATCTTCGAGCTCGATACACCACCACAGGACATCCCTCAGCTTTTGGATCTGATTCTCCGCCTCGTACGCGCGGGAAAGTGCATACCACGCCTCGGAGTTGTCCCACGCACTGCCACGCTTGGTCAACCCGGACAGCAGGCCAAAGGCACGCTCGCGGGCCGCGATGCGGTTCAGGAGTCGGGGCTCTTCGTCCGAATCCGGAACGATTTTAGCCTGCGGCTTTTCTTCTTGACTTGACCGCTTCGCGTTGTCTTCGGATGACGGTTTGCTTTGATCGCTCGAAGACAGCGATAGCGTCGACACACCGGCATCAAGACGTGGCTTTGGTGGCTGCAAAGGCATCTTCTCCTCCCAAACATCGAGTAGCAGATTTGATAAACCAATAGTTGCCTTCGGATGGTCCGCATAATGGAGAAGCGCCGTCTCGAAGTGTTCCATAGCTTCATGCGGGCGAGTCTGGTCAATGGACTGGAGACCGCGCTCGGCATAGACGTCTGCCCATAGTTCATCAGTGCTCTTAGGGACACCCCATCCGCGCTCCCTAAACGCTCTAGCAGAGGTCTCTTGTGACGCCACAAGAGCTTCGAAGCGCGTCACCTGCTTGGCTGCCTCTTCGCATGCCTCATGTGCGTCCTCGAAAGACGAGGCTCGACGATAGAGACCAGCGATGAGTAGCCAAACCTTGATGAGGATGCACAGGCCATGCTTTTGGGCTTGAGTAGGTGGAACCTTGGTCACTGCCCTGGTGGGAGAGTCGAAGGCGTACGATGTAGGTAGTCGGATATCCTGCTCCGGTGGCTGCTTGGAATGCCCGGCTGGAGCGGGTGGTTGGTTGTGCTTCATATTGTGAGCCATAGGTCCCAGTGGCTGCTTTGCGCTCTGCGGCTGGGCCGCTGCGTCCGACACAGCTAGTCCAACCATGTCTGGGACAGGGTTGCCGGCTTCAGGCCCAGCCTGAGTCCCGCTATCGCCGTTGACATGGCTTGAGTTGGCATTATGGGCATCATCTCCCTTCCTCAGAGTATTGCTCCTTTTACGGGCCTGACGTGAGTCTGTCCCCTCGTTAAGCCCGGACTTCTCCCCATCTGTGACCTGTATCGCCGGTGCTGAATCCGTATAGGCTGAATTGTCTGTCTTGGGCTCCTGTCCGAATTCTGCCCTTCGGTCAGGGGCGCGGGGTCCCTTGTGGCGTCCAAAGAAGCTGCCGCGGAGGCTCTTCACAGTTCCAGCAGAGCTTTTCGGGGGTACAAGGTGCTCGTTCTCGGTCTTGGTATTGGCCTTCTCGCTACCTTCCAGGTTCAGAGAGCGGAAAAGCGTGGCGAACAGACTGAGGAGCTGGTCGCTATGATTGACAGCAGCCCCCGGACCCTCGACAAGTTCCACAAATGCCAACTGGGTCATCCTGGTCTCAATGATACGTTCCTTCTCGCGGACTCGTAGCTTATCGATAAGCTCATGGGTGATGCCCGCGATCTGGTCTTGAGCAGTCTGGTTCTGCTTCTGGGGTCGTCTGTCGCTATGGGCGAGTGACGTCACCGTTGCAGGGAACTGCTCAAATGCGGCTTCACACGAGCGCTCGGCAATGTCGAAGTCCTGCTTCGCGCTGAGAAGAAGAGCAAGCAGATGCCACAGGGGCACCAGATCTCTCTCCCGAGCAAAATCGGCTTGACCTGTCTTATGCTGTGCGTCAGATGTCAGGGCCGATTTGACGTAATCAATGGCACCGTCCAGATCACGGTTCTCTGCCAATAGAACAGCCAGCGTATATAGTGAGGAGCAGTTGGCATCGTCTTCAAGCTCCGGGGCTAGACTTCTTTCCAGATAGTCGATCGCTTCTGCCCGGATGTCGTCGCGATCCTCGTTCACAGGAGTCCAATAAGCCCAGTTAGCAAGCCCGATACCAATTCCTCTGTAAGCTGCAGCGATGTCCGACGGAGCAACGGCCTGGGAGCAGGTTGAAGCAGTTTCAGGCGCAATGAGAGTTATGCCTTGCTCTTCATCATCTTGCACATGCTTCTCGGAAAATTCCTTCAGGAGAGAAGTGAGATCCTTTGCTTTCTCGGCCTCTTTCTCCGAACCAAAGCAACTCAACATCGTAACACCCTCCGACACGGTGCGCAAAAGGATGCCATCATTCTCCAGATCTCCCGATTCAGCCCCTTTTGCTGCTCGCTCTTTGGCACTCGTGACAATTTCGATATATGAGTCAAGCGCCCTCAGAGCAAGGTCGTAGTCTGCGAGTGCACAATGCACGTGGAACAGACGCCGCAAAATCAGATGTGAATGGTATGTCTTGGTAGCAGCGCGGTAAAGGATCTATAGTCATCAGCAAGTTGCTTTCCATCTCTCAGTCCCTCGGCGTGGAACTTACATCAAGAACGTTCCTGCCGACAGCATTCTGGCCACCCTCCCCAAGCTCTTCATCTGTCCAACCGGCACCGCAAAGCACCTCCCAGTTCTGGATGACTTGTTCAACCCAAGCCTCAACTTCCGGGTTGCTCGAGTCAGCCGTGGGGAATTTTGTTTCGCGCAGAATGCTAGCTTCACAAAGCGACTCAACGCGCCGGATTTCACTGGCGAGCTGCGGGCGTTCAGGCCCATTTGCAGGAGGGCAATACGGCAGGCCCTGTTGCAGGATCCTTGATAGCAAATTGTAGTACGACTTCCATGTTGGTGATTTCGAAACCGGCTCGGTAGTGCTGTCCATAAGCATGCCTTGGGGTAAAGTCATCTGCTTGACTGAAGGATGAGACGCCCACAGTCTGAAGAACCCTAGCGTCGTGGCTATCGTTTGAGCATTAGCAGCGGCAAGGTCTTTGCTGGCTTCCTCGCACGCCAGTGAGGCACCTTGACCCAATAATTTCTCAGACCAGTAGAGAAACTGTGGGCTGTTGGTAGAGGATTGGAGTTGAATGTTCACCCATGGCGTAAGCGAATGAAGGGTCTCCAGGGCGCCTTCTGGATCGGAGGTCATGCGCTGTGCCGAACCTAGCATGGATTAGCAGATGCAAATCCCATCTTCACGGTGGAGCATACACACCCTTGAGATAACATGCCTTGACGAGACACGTCTTGGTCCATGGAGAGAGCTCTTCCCCTGCCTGCTCGAGCTCGCTCACGGCTTCTTCAAAGTCCTGAGGAAACCGAGCAGCCGCCAAGCCTAGCTCATTGACAGTCCAATGTACCCATCCCAAGCAGACCTGCGCCTGGAAAACTTCTTGCTTTGATCCTTCTGCCCGGTTGACGGTGGATAAAAGTGACGGAATCAGGTCATGAAGACCGGCGGCGGAGGAAGGGCGGGGGGTGGAGGGATGCGTTTGAAGATGTGAGGCCAGCTGATATTCAGCGCTGGCTACTTCGAGGAGACCTGTGGCATCCTCATTAGTTCATCTGCTGGCAGGCCAGTATTTCCGGGGAAAGGCAAGTTGGCATTACATGTTCTCTGCGGAGCATGTTTGGTCACTTTTCGAATCAACTCTGGCACTTCTTCCCATTTATTCTGGCAACGCGCATTGTCCAGGGCCGTAACATAGCGATGCCCCTTATCAGAGTCTCGACCCTGCGTGAGTGGTAATCGGTGCCTCGGTCAGCGGAAGGCATGTGGTGGCAGATTGAGGGGGGAAGCTTCACAAGGTAGCGATTGAGATGTTCCCAGGGGGGAATGAGAAGCCACCACTTACAGTCATGATTGAGAGAGGTCAGACAGAGACGGAGGGATCAATGATTACAATCGGAGGAAAGAGAAAGAAGCAGCGTCCATAACAGGGACGAATGCCCACTCGAGGCAGCAGAGAATCAAGATAATATGGCCCGTTGACGGCGGAGACCATCTTAAGGGGAGACCCGCCGTAACGTACGTAATGTCTCGTATTATTGCCCGAGGCTTCATGTGGTCCGAGCGTCGAAGCCAAAAATTTCCAGAAATTTGGATGTTTAGCATCACTCAATCTTGCGCCAGACCCGTCAATCGCTTCCCCGCGGTCGCTTGTGCAATTCTGCCCTCGTGAAGATGGCCTACATGTCTATGTCCCTCCACGCCGTCAACCACCGGTTGACCAACGTGCCTGTGAAGCAACTACCGCATCTCGCATCATGCCTCGCATCCTCCATTAGCAATTGCGGGGAGCTGCTGTCAACTCCCCAGAGCCAAAAGTCGGGCAAGACGGACTCTGACAATGCCGTTCAGATTCATAAGCTCATTACTCGCTTGGGGAGTTTGCTGCAGGACCGCACGTACGAAGGTCGCTGGACCGCGGTGGTGCTTGTGAAGGCGCTGGTCGAGGCTGGCCAGTGGGAGATTCTACGCTCGAGCGAACCGTTTGTTCGCGGATTGATCAGCATTTTGGCTGTAAGATGCTCAATTGAAGACAATACTGCATGGCAGATGCTCACTGAACTGCTGCGAATAGAAATCGGACCCCGTTTCCACGAAGAAAATGTGCATTATCACCTTAACTCGCATCTTCCACCTGACCTACCAGTATCCGACCCTCGTTCGCGAGATCACCACTCCGTCTCTGCCAGGCTTCATTACCTCTGCCTTGAATCTGATCTCCGTCAAGCCATCTTCTGAACCCGTCCGGAGACTCAAGCCGAATACTCCCTTCGTCGAAGTTGTACTCCAAGCCGTCAATGAACTGATCGCAAGGCACCCGACTATCTTCCGGCCGTTCACCGCGCAGATTCACAGTATTCTTCAGGTCATCATCGGATCCACGTCGCCCACTTTCCCGGAACATGTATTGGAAATCGCTCAGCAGCTATTCATCTCCCTCCACAACTGCGCCCCGAAGAACACCGGCGGCGATGAATGGAAGAGCGCTTGTCGCATGACCATCACCTCTGTTCACGCGGCGTCGTCTTACGTGCTGAGGGCCATTGTGGAACAATGGGAGTCCGTTGACCCGTCGCTACGACAGATGTCGCAACCGCAGAACTACAGCCAAGAAGTGGGCAACGGCCCTGACGCTTTGGGGCTTGAGGGCTGGCAGGGTCTGAATTCCGGTGTCAACCGGCTGGTTGTGCTCTTGCGCATGCTCTCTGGATTCGTCGGCACCGCTACTGCTTCTACCGTGACTATTCCGGTTGGAGCGATCCTGGATCTGACGTCTCGACTGAACATGGTGGTGTATCCCTCCGGTGGCAGCGACATCCAAGCCAACCCCCAGATTGGCCGCGCGGAGCGAGAGCAGCTGCTCACCGAACTCCCTCGCATCCACATCGCGTGCATGAAGCTCCTTCTTCACCTGGTCAAGGCTCTCGAAACCAGCGCCATCCCCGTGGCACAGAACATCCTGGAGCAGGCGCTGTGGGTTTTCCGTGCGGAGCAATTCAGCCGGGATGTCCGCACCGCCGTGTATGATCTGGTCTGCGCCCTGCTCACCCGCATCGGCCCCTCCATGACCAAGCAGAGCGTGTCCTCCCTCGCCTCTATGATCCGCAAATGCTGCCACGACCTCCTGCCTCCCACCGGCAACCAGGGCGCAGCCACTGAGAAGCCGGACCCCAAGTCGAAGAACAAGTCCAGCCAAGCCACCGTCAACGCCGACTCCTTCCTGAACCCCGGCCTGAAACAAGTCCGTCAGACCAGCTCCTCCTCGTCCTTCCCTGACCTCACACGCGCTGCTTCCGAGCTCCTCGCCGCCGCGCTGACGCACACACCGTCCGAGTTCATGTCACCGGCCCTTCGCGCCGAGGTCGACCGCACCCTCATCCTGACCTCGGACAAGAACGCTATGCTCGCCAGCGTCCTCAACCCATTCCCAGCTATGCAAGGCCGTGGTGTCGGCACCAGCATTCTCCCCTTCCTGGCGCGCAGCTATCCCGCCGAAACGGAAGTGGAATGCCTCATCCGCCCGCGCATGCCTGTGGTGATGAGCGGCCCCACAACCAACGGCTACGTGCCCATGGAAGACGACGAAGACGAAGATGAAGACGCTGCAGCCACCGCCGTTCCCACATCTACAGCAACCGGGTTCCTTAAGCCCACTCCCACCCCCACCCTCCAACACCATGACATGATGGACGTGGAGAAAGATATTCCCTCGCCGCCAAGCAAACGCAGCTACGCCGATGAAGTCGAGCAGCCGGCGGCATCATCTGCTGTCCCATCAGCGACGACGACGACGAGTAGCCCCGGCTCGCAGAGCAAAAAGGCCCGGTTCGAACCAAAGGCTGCTGCTGCGGTGACCCAGCCGCCTCTGGACGCAGCATCTCCGGCGACTTTCACCGGCACGGCTGCTATCTCTGTCCCTACGTCGTCCATCGCCGGGCCGGCTCCGGTGCAGACGCCAAAGCCCGCTCAGTCTTCTATTGCTAAGCCATCTGCCTCGGCCGCGGCGGGAGCAGCTGAGGATGAGAGCGATGATGAAATGCCCTCTCTGAATGTCGACCCGGACACAGATGATGAGGACGAGGATGAGGAGTAAACGAAAAGTTAGAGGGCATATGCATGTACCATATACGATATAAACCTCAAAAGTCTAGCTCTAGCGCTTGTTCAAAAGTTCATAAATAGATTAATCTTGGAAAGACTCTCTCAACATGGCAGTAGATCCAAACAAACGCCATCGTCAATGCTTCATTTGAATCCAACACAAACCTGCACTATATGTATAAGTTCGCAGATAAGATAAGACGCCAGACACAGACAGATCCAACTCTACTATCTATCATTTACTCTCACCATCTATGATCTATCCTAAATCTATATAGACTAAATAGTGTATACACCAACTCGCCAAAAGTCCCAAAATACCAAAAATATAAGTAAACATCAATAAAACCTCACCCCCCTATCCCAGAACCCCCCACCACCATCCCACCTCCCGAACCACTTCCCACTCCACCACCACCACCCCTTATCCCCATCATCCACACCAACCCCCAAACCCCTTAACAAACTCACCGGCAACGGCTCCGTGAACCACAATCCACCCCTTGAAAAGTCTTCTACCAGCGATCCCGCCGACCCCAACAGCCAAGTCACTGCAAACACGGCATTACAAGCCCGCCTCGCCGGCCGCGGCATCCATAACCACAGCGGAGAAATAACACCCTGAAGGAGAACCCCCACCGCCTGGAGAACAAAGAAGCGGAACGGGCCTGCAAAGGGATACGTCTCGCGGTTCTGGACGTAGCTGCCGGAGGCATGAACCAAGCCGCTGAGAGAGAATGCGACGAAGGCAGTGAGTACACGGCGGACGGAGCGGGAAGTTGATAGACGGGAGGGAAGGAGAGAGAGGAGCCAGTGGGCGGCGGAGATGAAGCCGTAGCGGAAGAGCTGGTGCCACCAGAGGCTCCAGCAGCCGGCAAGGCTGTGGTCGAGGATGGAGGTGAAGAAGGGGCCGAAGGCTGGGGGGTAGAGGTAGGGAGCGGAGAGGGGGACGGAGGTGAGGGATTTGGCGGCGTTGGGGAAGGCGAGGGAGAGGCCGCCGAAGATGAGGGGGTTGAGGCAGGTCACGTAGTTGAGGGCGGCGAGGACGCCGGTGCCTGTTACTAGACAGCGGTAGATGTGGATGAGGATCGGGTAGGGGATTAGATAGTGGAAGGGGAAGGGGGGAGGTGCAGGAGGAGATACGCTGCCCATGAAGTATTGGTCGCGGATCATGAGGAGCTTGATCAGGTCGAGGAGGAGGTAGGATTGGATGAAGAGGGTGAGTGTGGCACGGAGACGAGTGCGCATGGTGATAGGTTCTGGGTTGGTGTTTGTGGTTGTGGTTGCTTTTTCTTCTTCGCTGTGATGCTCTGAGGAGTTGTTGAGCTGCGCCTGGACTGAGGCCGGTAAGGCGCCCATGGTGGAGATGCGCCAGTTCCATTCAGGCCCACGCATGCTGGTGGCTACACTTATGACCCAGTTGAGACGGTGGGATAGCGTCTGCGGATATGGTTGCCATGAGACAGGTTCGGCGCTGCTGTTGTGGGTAGTGACCATGCATTTTGATTCTTTAGCATGGCCGTTGAGGGCGGCATCGCCGTTTGAGATAGTCATGGTAGATGACAATGGGTGGCGCTCGATGCGTTTGAAGTCGCGCTCAACATCGCGGAAGAGAAGAATCGTCGCGGACCAGATGGTGCTCCAGACGGGAATAAGGCCGCCCATGTAGCCATTGCCTCCTGTGAGCATGCGTCGATGTTGGAGGACATTGCTGGTGATGCCTATGACGCACGCCAGCACCAGGGGACGGACATAGCGGCCACCTCTTTGCTGCGGGACAAGGAGCGCTAGAATGGACAGCACGAGGGGTAACATCAGATGCCATAAGAGCACGGGCTTTACATCGCCATTTTGAACAAGGGACTCGAACTGGGCCTGATTGTCGTGGATAAGGCGGCGGTATGAAAAAGGCGGTTGAGAGGCGGCCATCGGAAGGATGGTGGGGCCTAACGATAAGAATAGGAAAGGGAGGGAGGACTCGAATAAAACGAAGTGAATCTATAAGGATAAGGTTGGGTAGTCTATAAGAAAACCATGAGGTTCAAATTAGGATACTCCATCGGGTGGCGACGAAGTCATCGCGATGCGTCAAGGCAAGGGATCGCCACGCTGACCTACGGGCCGGCCCTGGCCGCATTCGCTTTTTCCCTTGAGTTGTTCATTTGTTGACGGTCACAAATGCCCTCGCATATTACATATCCGATCTGCAGAACTATCGATCGGGATTGACGATAGAGGCCTGGCATCCATTGTTCAAAGTATAACTAGCTGCGGCGTAGTTTCGAGCCTATTTTCGTTTTTGGAGTGCGACGGTTGCTTCGACACGGAAAGATGCTGGTTCGGTAACCATTCCGCACGTTGTTTGTCCAGGGGGTTTGAAGCCAGGAAGATCCTGTCAGAAATTGGTTATCATCAGCCAACTCCAAGTGTCGACCCTGCCTGTGGCGTCATTACTGAAACTGGAACAGCATCATGATCCGGTGAATCCCTGGTAGAGTTGCGGTCGGAGTATATCTCGCCAGTTCGAACAAGCAATAGCGGTGTGCCAATTTTCAGTTGGGAGGCACTGACTGATGTGTCCGACGCAGAGATATTTAATATAAAAGCTTGGAGATTCTCAGCGTGCTGCTGAAATGGTGAAGATTCTGAGAAATGATGGGTTTTTCTTAGTACAGCATTAACGCTGTGAATGTTGTACAAAGAATGCATGGGGGAGTCCACACAATGTGGTAGCAAACATGACACGGTTTTATGTGATAATTCAATGAGAGCAAGTAAGCATCCCCTTGCTTGGGAGGGAAACCGATCCTGAAACCGTCGAGCGAACAGCTAAACTTCAGCTAGAGAATCAATGGATCCATGACTGAATGAGTGGATCTAGCGTCTGGAGTTGTTGGAGACCCCGAACGAAATGTAAAAGAGGGTCTCTCTATCTGGGGTAGAGACAAGAAATGAGAGATCATGGACCCTCCTTTAATCTCACCATCCCATGGCTCGTTGTTCCGTATTATCCTTCATAATTCACAATGCACAGATAAGCGAAATGATCAGCCAGTGTACTCAACTACCCGTTGATTCAGTCCATCAGCATAGTGAATTGGCAGGACGATGGATCTCTTCATCCTTCAGACAAATGCCGTTCATCTGTTTATCGGTCGGCTAAAGCCGCCTCCCCGCGTGGCTTCGGTTCCTCTCGTATTCCAACTCCGTCTTATGCATTCAAAGCGTGCATCTTTGTGCAATGATGCCATTCCCACCAACCACATGCCTGAACCACCCATGTTTGGGCCTCCGAACCAGGAATCGATCGCCGAAATGAGTATCTTTTATGCGACCAGCTCTTATGCACAAGAATCCCACACAACCCGCTCTTCCCACTAATTCGCCGGCCCATTCAATGTTGTCATGCTCGTCTCAATCTGGTGCTCTCCATTATCTGGGGCTCACCTCCGCATGATGATTGGAAGATGCACTGCGCTCGTGCTCTCCCGTAGCCCATATGGGGAGCCCAATATCGGAGTCGGTTATTGGGTTTCGCAATCTGGGATCAGCTGCTCTATCGTCAGCTCCCTCGTTATTAGAGGCTGCAAAATCCTCCTCAACGGCTAGCGCCCCCGGTGTATTTTGCAGGTCAGTTTGCTTCTTTCCGGTACTAATAGTCAGTGGCCATGACTACAGGGTTGGTCCCAGTTGGCCCCCAAGATACATAATCTCGAGTCTTCCCTGCTTAAGGGTAGTGATTCTTTTTATCTGTGGTCTGTGTCCTTCGTCCACCGTGCTCTGGGCGCCATTTTCCTTGCAAACGAAAACAACCACCAAGTATGGCTGGTGACAACCCCCCCGCTGCTGGGGAGCCGGCCATGCCCACCCGAATTTCTTACTGGCGCCTTCTGCTCGACCAGGGCGTGCTTACCCAAGAAATCCTCGATTATCCATGGGAGGGCTCTGGCACGGAAGACGACCCATACCTCGTCACCTGGATTCCTAACGATCCTCGCAATCCCATGAATTTCCCCGCCTGGCGCAAATGGCTGTATACTATAACCGTGGCTTGGGCCACACCTCGCTGTGTCATTGGTCTCGTCAGCGTACAGTGGAGGAGTCGAGCAAATAATGGAAAGTTTTCATGTGGGCACTGAGGTAGCCACGCTCGGCATTTCGCTCTTCGTGCTGGGCTTCGCTATCGGCCCTCTGCTCTGGGCCCCCATGAGCGAGCTCTGGGGCCGTCAATACCTCTTCTTTGTCAGCTATTGTGGGCTGGCGGCGTTCAACGCCGGCATCACCGGCTCCAAGAACATCGAGACCCTTATCGTCCTACGCTTCTTCGCGGGCGCGTTCGGATCGTCGCCCTTGACAAACGCCGGAGGAGTGGTGGCGGATCTGTTTCCCGCGAAGCAGCGGGGGTTGGCCATGAGTATCTTCGCAGCGGCACCGTTTATGGGTCCAACCATCGGCCCGGTTTGCGGAGGCTTCCTGGGGATGAACGCGGGGTGGAAGTGGGTAATGGGCTTCTTGGCTGCTTTTTCCGGTCTTCTCTGGATCATCGGTAGTCTGGTGGTGCCGGAGACCTACGCCCCGGTGTTGTTACAGCAGCGCGCAAAGAAGCTGACCAAGGTGACGGGAAAGATTCATCGAAGCAAGACGGAGGCGGAGAAGGGGAAGGTGCCCTATTCCACCGTCTTCAAGACAGCCCTGTCGCGGCCGTGGCTTCTTCTGTTCCGCGAGCCGATCGTCTTCCTATTATCCATATACATGGCAATTATCTATGGGACGTTATACATGATGTTCGCAGCATTCCCAATTGTGTACGAGGAGCTACGCGGTTGGAACCAGGGCGTCTCGGGTCTATCATTCCTGGGGGTCATGGTAGGCATGAACATAGCAGTCCTGTACAGCATCTGGGATAATAAGCGGTATGAAAGGACTGATGAAGCTCACAAAGGATTTGCACCTCCAGAAGCGCGTCTCCCTCCATGTCTGATGGCCTCGGTGATGATCCCCTTGGGCCTCTTCTGGTTCGCTTGGACCAATTACCCTTCGATCCACTTCATGGCGAGTATCGCGGCCTGTGTGCCTTTCGGGTTCGGAATGGTGCTGGTCTTCCTCAGCTTAATGAACTACCTTATTGATGCCTACACCATCTTCGCAGCCTCGGTGCTGGCCGCCAATTCAGTTCTGCGCTCGATCTTTGGCGCCGTCTTCCCGCTCTTCACGACCTACATGTACCACAACCTGGGGGTTCACTGGGCCTCCAGCATTCCCGCATTCCTGGCGCTCGCGTGCGTGCCATTTCCTTTTCTATTTTATAAATATGGCCCGGCGATCCGAACTCGGTGCAAATATTCAGCGCAGTCGGATGCCTTTATGAGGAGGCTGATGGAGCAAAGCACGCGAGACAATCGTCAGCCGGAGCCGGAGAAAGAAGAAGCTGCGGAGAAAGAGACAGAAGTGTCGCCGGTTCAGGCCTCTTCATCTACGCTCGGGGAGAAGTCGCGACTCGGTGATCTCCCTGCCGTGGCAGCCGAAGACACTGCTCGGACCCACTCGATAGCGTCGCAAGGGTCGCGGCGACCGGGCTCTGTGAAGGCAGAGTCTGTGTACGAAGGGAATCCGTATGACGTTGACCGAGTGAATACTCGTGAGTCTTTCAAAGATTGAACAGTCGCTTCTGTATATGTATTGTGGGTGTCGAACCTCAGACCCTCTTGGCATCGGGATTTAAATTAGTGTGCGGTTAGTTGCATAGCTAGCGTTCTCGTATATAGAATGGTAGATCAGCACTAAGACTTACGCTGCAGAATAACGAGGTAAATGCAGAGAATAGAATAGATCTTCCTCTCAATATCATCTACGAGAAATGAATTGAAACAACTGTCACTTTTAAGTATGGAGTAGTATCCACCCAAGTCACATGGGGCCGCGATTTAGCGCGTTTCTCCGCTTTCTTATCGAGTAAACTTATCAGTGACATCCCCGATTCTATCTATCAACTTTCGTCCTTCATCTCACCATCTACACCACCATCCCCCATCATGGGTCGCACCCCAGGGAAGCGCGGCTTCGAGCAGGTCGATCTCACCACCGACGAAGCCACCAACAACACACGACATCATCCCACTCCCCGCACCACCATCAATGGCCAACGCTTCGGCCAAGACACGACCTTCGTGCCCCTTAGCCAATCAGGCGAGGACGAAGACGACGCCCAAGCAACAGATCTCATCCAAGGAAGCCAAGATGCTGGCGATGATGCTTCCACATACATTCATTATGGGGACCTGAAAGCCAAGATCGTCGGCGTGCGGTACTATCGCGGACATGCTACGATCGGGGAGCATGTTCGTATTGTGCGCGACCCGGGGAACCCGTATGATTCGAATGCTATCCGCGTGGATAATGTCATGGGGCAGCAGATTGGCCATATTCCGCGGACGGTGGCGGCTAAGTTGGCGAAGTATTTGGTGAGTAATATTTTCTTAGATTGTAATGTGTAGTTTGAATTGGTTTGGGGCTCTGTTTGACGTGGTTTTCTGGGGTTGGTGTAGGATGATAGGTCTCTTGTTGTTGATGGTGTTTTGACCGGTGTGATTGGCGCTTTTGATTGCCCAATTTCCCTCAAGCTGTTTGGGACTAGTCACACGGAGGCGAGACAGGCGCTAAAGAGTCGGATGGAAATGGATAATTTGCCTCTTGGAGGGTTCAAGCAGAATGAGCGCAATGAGAAGAAACTAGAGAAGGAACGGGAGAAGGCAAGGAAGGAGGCGGCGAAGTTGGCGAGATCGCTTGCCAAGGGCAAAGGGAAGCAGTTCCAGGGAGAGAATGCATTGGGCTATTCGAATCTCTTCACTGGGGAAGGGCTGGTTGAAGGTGAGAATCTGGAGGAACTCATTGGCCAGAGCAGCACTTTTAATCCACGCGATATCGGCCATGTCGCGGAGGACTTTGGCATGAAGGAATCCGATTTGGAAAATATGCCGATGGCGGAGTCTCCGGCTGCTTTGGCGACAGAACTTCTTCCGTATCAGCGCCAGGGGCTTGCTTGGATGATTGCTAAGGAGAATCCGAGTCTTCCTGGCGATGGGGGTGATGTCGTGCAGCTCTGGAAGAAGAATGGTAACAAGTACACCAATATTGCTACCAATTACTCTATGACGCAGGCTCCGCCTCTTGCGAGCGGTGGTATACTGGCTGATGATATGGGATTGGGAAAGACTATTCAGATCCTTTCCCTAATAAGGTTCAATTCTCAGCCCAAGACTCCGGAGTCCTCCAGAACCACACTGATCGTGGCCCCGGTTGGTGTGATGAGCAATTGGCGAAACCAGGCGCTTGTTCATACTCATAGCGACAAAGCTCCGAAGGTGCTTATATACCATGGGCAAGGGAAGAAGGAAGCAAGCAACCTTGACCAGTATGATGTCGTTGTTACGAGCTACGGTGCACTGGCCATGGAGTACAGCCCGAATGCCAAGGCACCTCCTAAGAAGGGTCTCTTTTCCATCCATTGGCGTCGTGTCGTTCTTGATGAAGGGCATACCATCCGCAATCCACGGTCAAAGGGTGCCCTGGCAGCTTGCAACCTGAGGGCGGGCTCACGATGGACACTTACAGGAACGCCCATTGTCAACACACTCAAGGACCTCTACTCGCAGGTGCGCTTTTTGAGACTCACCGGTGGCCTCGAGGATTTGGCCGTCTTCAACAGTGTCCTGATCCGGCCTCTATTGTCCGGAGACCCTGATTCCCGCCTGCTACTCCAAGCCCTGATGACTACTATCTGCCTACGTCGCAGAAAGGACATGAACTTTGTGAACTTGCGCTTGCCGCCCCTCACTTCACGCATCCTGCGCATCAAGTTCCACACCCACGAGCAAGAGAAATACGACATGTTCCAGTACGTATCCCGACCAACTTCCTTGATCCTAACTGACACCCCGCAGATCCGAGGCCAAGGGCATGCTCCTGGACTTCAAATTCAAAGACAAATCTAACACCAACTACTCCCACCTTCTCGAAGTAATTCTCCGTCTCCGGCAAGTCTGCAACCACTGGGCCCTCTGCAAGAACCGACTAGACAAGCTCGCCGACCTCCTCGAGAACAACAAAGTCGTCCCCCTTACACCCGAAAACATCAAAGCCCTCCAAGAGATGCTCCAAATCCGCATCGAAAGCCAAGACACCTGCCCCATTTGTCTCGACAATCTCGAACAGCCCGTAATCACCGCCTGCGCACACGCCTTCGACCGACCTTGCATCGAACAAGTCATCGAACGCCAACATAAATGTCCCATGTGCCGCGCCGAAATTCAAGACACTACCACCCTGGTCTCTCCCGCCGTCGAAATGGGCGAAAGCACCGACACTGTCGACGCCGACCCCGACAATCCCAGCAGCAAAATCGAAGCCTTGATCAAGATCCTCACAGCAAAGGGCCAAGCACAAGGGACCAAAACCGTCATCTTCAGCCAATGGACCTCCTTCCTCGACCTCATCGAACCCCACCTTTTCCGCCACGGCATCGGCTTCGCCCGCATCGACGGCAAAATGTCCTCCATCAGTCGTGATAACTCCACCCTGCGATTCTCCACCGATCCATCATGCACTGTCCTCCTCGCTAGCTTGAGCGTCTGCAGCGTTGGCTTGAACCTCGTGGCAGCTAACCAGGCTATCCTGTGCGATAGCTGGTGGGCTCCCGCCATCGAAGACCAAGCTGTCGATCGTGTATACCGGCTGGGTCAGACACGCGAAACTACTGTGTGGAGACTTGTTATGGAGGATAGTATTGAGGATCGTGTGCTGGCTATTCAGGAGAATAAGCGGAAGTTGATGCTCGAGGCGTTCAGGGAGACAGCGACGAGGAAAAAGGTGGATGATAGAGCGACGAGGGTGGCAGATTTGGAGAAGTTGTTGAAGTAGATTTCTTCATGCAATTTACTTACCTGCTTCTTCAAGACTGAGTGCTATGTGAGCTATATTTCTTTCGGGATTTTACTACCTCTTCAGATCTCCATCTACTCTATTTTTACATGATAGAAGCGTAACCTGAATGGAGATACATCTCACACATCATTAGCTCACGCTCACTCGTGGACTCATCACTAACTCTTTTCTGAACTCACCTTCCACTCCTACGAATAATCCATTACTACCACTACTACTTAACCATCACCCCATAGTACCAACCAAAGACAATACTCCTAATTAAAGTTACTACTAGTAGCATCATGATTCATATTCTTCAATCACATTAATTCTATGTACGAGACACAAAGAGTGAAGTGAGATCAAAGATAACAAAAAGAAAATGAAGAGTGAGCTTGCCGCCGCCGTAGCAGCAGAAGTGCATTTCGCTAATACAATCTCGAAGGAACGCCAAATAGGAGCAAGAATGGAAGGTATCTTGTGTCATCTTTCGTTGGAAGAGGGTATTCACGGGGATGCAAGGTATGTACTGTGGAATAAGGAAATGGTAAAATAGGGAAGGACAAAGTAGCTTTGACGGAATGAAAATGTGGAGGTAAGTTTAGAAAGTAGACCGGCGACATGAAGCGGGATGGTAGTCTTCTGCTGTGATTTGGGCTAAAGAACTGATATGATGTGCAAAGAAAAAATAGAGGTATTCTCACTGAGGCCTGCAGCTTGGCTTATTATGATCCTGCAAAGATTCAGGTGACTCTGATCGATCTCTTATCGCGCTTGAGCCCTCGGTAGTGCTGCCACCGCCGTTGTAAGTTTGTGCTGATGCAGCTGTAGCAGAGGTGTTGTGAGTAAGGAGACTGGAATTAGTGTTGTTTCCTGGCGTCACAGGAGTGCTCAGAGCATGAGCCTGGTCCGGACTGGTCAAGGTCAGGCCAGGGATCGCTACGGGAGTTTGCGGAGCTTGTTGCGTGATGCTCGTGTCTGGAGCCAGAGCCGGAGGGCCAACATTGTGTGCACTAGCTGGGATGGTAAGCTGGGGTGCAGGTGCAGGTGGCTGAGGCGCAAAAGGCTGTGGAGGTAGCTGAGGCGGCAGTTGGCCAGGGTGCATTGCTGGAGTTGTGCCATAAGGCCCGGTGCCCTGTGCTAAGGCCATTCTTTGCCTTTCAATGATCATCCTCTGGTAGGCTTCGTAATCAGTCCGCTTGAGCCGCTCATCATCGAGTTGCTGCTGAGCAGCATTTTTCTCATCCTCGGTCAACTTGTCGTTGTCGTCCTTTTGAAACAGCTCTGTGAGTTTGATCTTTCGAATTAGTCTTTGGTTTTCATCGGCGTGAGCGTCTGCGCGGATGATCTTGTCTAGGACTTCTGGATCCTTTCCGAGACACTCTGTGACGTCTTGCTGCGGTGTTTGCTTCGCTGGGAAGAGATACTCTCCGAGGGACTTGGTGGCTAGGCGAATTGGGTTTTTTTTGTCGACGACACGGAAAGCAAGCTGGGTTTTGAAGACGGCTTTGTTGTACATGACCTCTTCGAAAGTTCCGCCTGCAATGAATCGGTAGACGAAGACGGGCTTCTTTTGACCTAAGCGATAGGCACGTCCGACAGCCTGTTCCTCCCAGACGGGATTGAATGTGAAGTCGAAAATGATGACACGGTTAGCACCGAAGATGTTTAGGCCTAGGCCGCCAGCACGGGTGGAAATTAGGTATACATCCTCTGCAGAGCCTTGATTGAACTGCTTGGTAGCAGCTTGTCGGCTGGCCATTGGAGTGCTTCCATCTAGACGGCAATATTTCCAACCAAATGCCTTGAGAATATCATTCTCGACGTAGTTGAGCGTAGGTATGCTGTGTGAAAACACAAGCACTTTATCTCCAGCCCGGACAGACTCTGCGATGATCCTGTTCAGAATTTCGGCTCGACATGACAGTGTTGCGGCGCTCATATCAGGAACAGTAGAGAAAAGCTGCTCTTGTTTTGAAACGAGACCCTCAACGTCCAGGCCCAGCTGCGTGATAGGCTCGTCACCAGGGGCTGGTTCGATCGCGGCGCCGTCTATCATTCTATCAAGCTTCTGAGCATCGCTGGCTCTGCTGAGAAGCTTATCTCTGAAACAAGCTGGGTGATTGCAACACAGACCCAGAACGGCTAGCCAAGACAGTAGCTTCATCCTGCTAAAATCTTGGCTGCCCTCTAGAATCGACTGCACGTATAGATCGTATGCAGACTTTTGCACATCCGTTAATGGAACAGTAATGACGAATTCGACCTTGGGAGGCAAGCTGCCCTCAAGGACAGAGATATCAGCCCGGTTGATCTTTGGTTCAAGAATTTTGTTCAGGACCTGAAGCTTCACAAGAGACCGCCGCCGCTCGCTATATGTGCTATCCACGTACAGACCTTCCTCAATAGGCTCTACAAAGTTAGCCTTGAACTCTGTGAACTCTCCTAGATAACCTCCCGCAATCCAGTTGACCATGGTAAAGTAATCCACAAGGTTGTTCGCAAGAGGAGAGCCAGTCAATGCAATGCGGCTCTGAGAGCGGAACTGCATGGCCGCAAGAGTAATTGCAGAAGCTGGGTTCTTCATCTTATGGGCTTCATCAGCAACAATGATGTTAGCTCCTTCTAGAAGCCACTTCTTAATGTTCTCATGCTCCTCTTCCGAGAGAGGCTTGCCTCTCCTGATTGTTTCTTTATTATAGACCCATGTCCGAAATATGTCATAGCTGATAAGAAGTACTCCGCCTTCATCATTCCAAAGAGCCACAGTGTTCAGCCTTTCCGCGAGAGAAGCCGAGCTGGTCACTTTGTTCACAGGTCCGATGGCTGAATCCTTAGGGGTCCACATAATGAACTCTTCGTACCAGTTCTCGATCAGTGACGACGGGCAAAGAATGAGGGTCTGGGATCGAAGGAGGTTGTCTGGGATTTGCTTCTTTATCCAAGGGTTCTTAGAAGCAGCCGCATTAGCTATTGTAACAAGGAGGGAGATGACCTGCATCGTTTTACCCAAGCCCATTGTATGAGCTAGGAGACAGCCCTGATGTTTTCCACCATCCTCAGTCAGCTCTCGCCACATAAATTGGATGCCATGCAATTGATGAGGCTTGACACGCTGTCCGATATGAGGGTCCAAGTAGATGACAGGATCGCCAAAACTGACAGCCTGGCGAGTGGCATCGGTATTGCTGACACCCATGCTTTCCAGTTTGCGTTCAAGCTTCTGCCGCAACTTCTCTTGATGAGCAACACGAAGTTTGGCGATTTCTTGATTCATTTTTGCAGCTTGACTTTCCTTCACTTCCCGTTTCCTTTTCTTGTGGGGTGAGTCAGAAACAGTCGCGGCGGTCTGTTGCCGGTTTATATCCCAGGTTTGATACGCATCCAAGCGGCAGGAGAGTTCCTTGTAAAACTCGGGGAAATCCGAGACACGTTCTTTTGCCTCCCAAACATGGGTTTTTGGGAAGCCCTTCACGTGATAATGAGCGCAATTTATCCATGAAATAAAGAGTGATGCCGTGCGCATGGCGAAACTAGCCTCATCAGGTGTCAGCCCTGATATTGTTTCCTTGCTTTTCCACAGTCTTTTCAAAGCAGTGTTTGTGAGGCTTTGCAGGCTTTTTATGTCATATGTCGGAACCATCCTAGTCAATCTCTGTCGTTCTTCATCTGCGAGTGATGCTATCAACTTTGCCAGGAGTCTGCACCGGTCATAACGCTCCTCCAAGAGCCTCCAACCGATTCCCTTGAGTTTGTTAAAATCGTTTATTTCGGGCAGGTCCTCTAAACTGTCTAGATGAGGCCTTGCGGAACTTGCAACTGACTGTGCGATGCCATCTTGTTTCGATGGTGTCGGTATCTCGGTTTTCGGTATCACGACATTCGGTATCTCGACATACACTTTAGGAGGAAGCTTTGGTGCAGGAGAGATTTCTCTTGACAAGACGTGTTCAGATTGCGGCGTCTGTCGCGCTGGGTTCAATGGGGGCGTCTCAACGGTAAAGTCATCCTCTTCAGGCAGTGGATCATCGCCAGTCAGGTCAATAGTCTCTATTGGTCCTTCAGGAAGTGGCGGAGGGGAGGGGGAACTGGACTCAACGAAAGGATGTGCTGTAGTCCTGAATTTTCGCCTTTTTCCAGAAGGACTAATGATATCATCGTCGTCCGACGAAGGGGTAGGGCTTTTGCGGAAAACGTCATCCTCAATGAAATCGTCAAGAGAGTCGTCATCAACAGCGCCATGATCGGTTTCCGAGCCAAGCGACTCTCCATCCTCGTCAATGCTTTGCCGTATGGGAGGCAAAGGCCTCGTAGGGTAAGCCATCTTCGGCGGACACTGCTCGAGTTCAAGAACGGATATAAGCCACTTTTGCTTCTGGATGTTGATGACGGTGTTCTCCAAACTTCGGCATTGTAATTGTAGCTCTTTCCGTGATGCGTATTCACTTTCCTCTATTGCTTTTGTGAATACACCTAGACGCCGTTCTAGAAGACTAACGTCGCGGGTGATAGTCTTGATTTGTTCATTGGTGGTTTTACCTCTCCTAGAAGATAGCCAAATTCTTCGTGCCTTTGGCTCCTCTCTTGTCCTTCCATCTTGCAGCCAGTTGTTCTCATATTCTGAAATGCAACTTGCAATGATAGATTTAATCTCAGCAGATGTGAGGGTTGTTTGCCGTGGCAATGGTTCCCGGCGTTCATCCTCAATTTCCTGCCATATGTCATCATCGAACTCACCCTCCGATCCTGAGTCTCCATAGAGGGGAAGAGTATCAAGGCCATCATCATCATCATTTTGTGCGGGGTATTTTTGTAACAGGTAGGCAAAGGGATCATGGTCCTTTGCGCCCCCGCTATCGGCCTCCTCCGACTGAACTAATTGCGGCCACCTCTGTAGTTCGTCTCTAGTGACTGTGACTCTGCCATTATGCACAGTATACAAGGTGCAAGGCCTTGGGTTGCTATGGCCTATGACTACTTCCTTCTTCGATGGCTTACTTTTTTGCTTGGTCAATTCTCGATAAGGAACCAATGCTGACTGCGTGGAGCTTAGCTTCACGGGCCGCTGCTTGTGGAAATAGATAAGCCTCTGGTTCACGAATCTGCGCCGGCCAACTGGAAGTCTGGAGGCGGTCATTGAGAAGGTCTGGTCATGTTCTGCTGGGTCGGAGTCCGGGTCAGATGTATAGAAAAGTCTGGAAACATTGAGCTTTTCTGGACCCAGGTACCACTCTGTGGGACTTTTAGGTCTGTTTGTCTGTCTTGAAACATCAGGGCCAGTCTCGTCCTGAGTCATGGCACTAAGATTTAGCTTTCGTCGTTTCTTGCCATGGGCATCGACAACCAAATCTTCGCCAGGCCGAATGCGTCTTTCAGGTGGTTGTTCTGAAGGTGACCAGGCGTTTCTCTCATTTCTCTGTAAAATACCTGGGCGACTTGCAGCCTCGCTTGGCTTGTGATGCTCCACAGAACCAGCTCTACGTTCAGAATCAGCTTTGGGGACATTCCCGGAAGGCTCTTGCGGCGAGGCCTTGGGTGAAGAAGTCTGAAGACGGGCACTTTCGTGAAGCCCTCGTTGTGGTGTCAAATTGTGAGATGGAGGCGGATGGTACACTGGGGAGACTAGTCGGGGGACAACCGGGTTCGCGTAGTCGATGTGGTCTTCAGACAAAGTGCCTAGATTCCTGGATTCCTGGAACTTGAGAGACTTTCGCTGGATATAGCGTATTGCCATGAGTATAGAGCTACGATGGCCAAGAGCTCTCACGCCAAGGTCCTCCCGTAGTGTCTCTTTGTCTACATCATGCATCAGCACCTCGCCGGTGATTTCATTCTCCCGAAGCGTAGCTTCAAAGGTGATAGGGTCCGGTCTTGGAGCACGCGATGATGACCGAGACCATGGTGTCTGCGGATTTCGACATAGGAATTGCACCACTTCATCGACCGTCCAATCTAGAGGGTCTCCGCCAGGCTCCATTTCAATGGGCCAGTCAGGCTGGCTTTGGATATCAGCGGTGGTGGAAATTCCAAACTACTCAAGCACTCTTAAAGACCATTTCCGGTGCCTGAGAATATCTCAAAACGGCAGGACGGATATGGCATGTCCGTTTCTTGGTCACTTCACCAGCCACACAAATGATCGCTGAACTAGACAGCAACAAAAAATGAGCAAAAAAGATATATTCTCTGGATAAGCAGTTTTCTCAAAACAAAGACACGCGCAGGCAACGCGCAAAAACGAAGCGAGGCGCTACCAGAACAACGCGACTAATAAGGCGGAGATGATGATTATGCCTGTTTCTGCCGGCAGCCAAGGCGGTCGGAGACCACCCCCACCAAGAAGAGGATGACTAATCTGGTCACTCAGCAAAATAAGTATAAAAGTAGAGATGAGGTGGAAACGAAGACGAAGTGGAGAAGGTCTGACGGACAATTTGAGGCAATCTGCGGGCTCTCTTCTGCATGAATAGTCTCAGTAATGGCGATACCCGTGCAATCCACTTAGCACGAGTCTGATATAGGCGTGTATGCGGAACCCGCCGATCTCTCAGACCTTTTGGATATATCACATGGGTGACACGATGCGAATCTGACGTGGGATCATCTCTATAATAATATTAAACTCGGCAGGAAGCTTCCAGGTTCACATTTCCTCCGTGATCGAAGCTGTCAGACAGCGTCATCTGAAGCAGTTGTGAGGCTAGTCCGATCGGAAGCGTGTTTTGCATGAAAGGTATCAATTATCTGGCTGACTGCCTAAACATCAAGTAACAGTACATCGAGGGTATTCGTTTCATAAACCACGTCTTTCCGTCTGCGCGCGACAAATACTACAAGAACAAATAAAGATTCAAATGGAGCCAAACCAACCGCGGCAACCATCTTGGCGCCCAACCTTATCTTAACCTCTCTCTCCTTCGCTGTTGAATAAGACCAGAAAACTCCATATTAAGGATTGAAACAGGAAACAGAAACAAGAAAGAAAGAAAAAGAAAAGAAAAAAGAAAAAGAAAATGTGACAGGAAAATAAAAGAAAGATAGATAGACAGATTGACTTTGAAAGGATTAGCCAAGCGCAGATACAATGAGATCGAACCGCTCCAAGTCAAGACCGATATTGTGAAGCTTGTTCACGGGCCAAAGAATGGCAGATTGAAAAAATAACGCTCCCCGACATTCAACTCCCGGAAGCAATGGTTGAACAGAGCGACCTGGATAGGGCTCGGCAATGCATCCAGGACCAGGGGCTGTTTCATCAAGAACAGCCCACCGGTTGGCTGCATTGCCTTGATGTCCGCTTTGTGGCCCTTGGCCTTGATGGGAGTCGGGAGTGACATCTCTTCATATGGGTTGAAGAGTGTTTCATCGCCAGTCTTTCCTGGCTTTAGGCCATTGGTTGACTTTGGCTCGATCTTTGTCCAATGACCAACCGTCTCCAGGACCCGGTACCCATCGCTCCACGGGTTCTTAGCACCCAGAGTCATGTCGAGGTCCATAGGGCATACGGCCCCAGGCAATTCCATGTCCGGGACCTCACCCCGGAACACGGGCAGTGGCCCCGTCATTCTATCCAAGTGCTGCTCGGCGGGAACAAGCTTGTATAGAGGCTCGGGCTCATTGACCTGGACCGCATCAGACATTGGCCAGTCCTCGTCGACCTTCGATTCGTTCACGTCAGGAACAATGGCCGTAATCGGGACGGGAATCGTGGCGGGAGCGGCCATCTCAACGGCGAACACACTTTCACCGGGCATCATAATCTGGGTGGTCTCAGAGGTGGTAGGAATTTCGCTGCCGAATCCATTCTGAGATGGCGCTGGTCCGACATTCTGGAACACCCGCAGAGCTTCTTTTGCTGTATCGACAAGCATCTGCTCTTGGACTTTGGGCATCTTCCTGGGCCTCTTGGGTCCAGTAGCCCGCATACAGCGCTTCCGCTTCTTGCGCTTCTCCAAGGAGTAGGTAGGTGGGAGAGGGATCCGTCCGCCAGCTTCACCCAGGGCCGGAATGATCAGGCCGGGAGTAAGTCCCCGAGTGGTATTAAGGTTAGGATCAATGCCATGCTCCATTAAAGTCTGCATCAACTTGGATTCAAGCTCGCGACTCAGCTTATTGCCTGAATCCCAGGCCAACATACCGAACGCCTGTCTGAAACGTCCGCCGCGCTGCTGCAGTGCGTTGGGGGCAATGCGGAACTCAGGGTTCATGCGGTCGACGATATCGCTGAGGCGGATCCGTCTATCCAGGCGCATCCAGGCTTCCACGCGGAACTCGTCAACGTCGGAAGCAATGTGGTCGGGCAAGGTGGGGATGTCGCGCAGGAACTTTCCGTTGATGGGGTAGGGCATAGTCGGCGGCTCAATCTTGCTCTTAGGGCCGGTGGGCTTGAGCTGATAGAGGATGTCGGGCAGCTTATCCCATGACCAGTCTTGCTGATCAGGATGGAAAGAAGTAAAGTCGCCCGAGTCGGCTTGGGCTTGGCACGCCTCACGGTAGGAAGATTGAATGGATTCTTGATGAGAAACTTGCACTGGTTATTGTTAGTTTCTTGACCCCGACTGCGGATGTATACTAACTCATTGCATAGTCCTGGGTCAACATGTTCTGGAAAGCGTTGGTGCTTTCGGAAGAAAAGATGGCCATCTTGAGATGGGTATGTCGATTATCACGACTGGAAACGATTTAGAGAAGAGAAGCCTTTCCGAAAGATTGTATGAGAGAAATGAAGCTTGAAACTGGCACTCAGTTGACGATTGCTACTATCCACGAAGGAATATGAACGACGAAGAGTACGAAACCACAGAGAGACTGTTCACGAAGCAGATGAAGCAGTTGAACTTGAAGATCTCGCAAGAGGAGGACGTTCGACAGAGACGTCTGTGTTCGGGGGGACCATTGTCTATTTATCAACATACAATTAATAGAGGGGCTGGCATAGAGCTCTACATAGGGTATGGTCCATGAGCAGAATCTCATTGTTCGATTTGGAGGAGAGGAATTCACTTGGTATACTCTTGTGCGCTCTTCGAAGATTCCTAGATGATGCCTTTGGATAGCCGTTTCTGCGGCTCCGACGATCGTTTTGATCTCTACCGAAGATGAGAGATTGAGCGGCTACCGCTCTATCCAACGAATCTAATCATGCCTATATTCCAATTGTCTTTGGATACGCAATCCCGCAAAGCTTAATATCTACTGAAGTTGACAATCAGCATCGTTAAGCAACCATCGCCAATATCACAGCTACCCCCGCTATACTTCTCTCTGGTCATGACAGCGTACCTCAGTACACCAGCCATCAATATAGCAGTCACTGAGCCTTATAGATCTGACTCGACCAATCAGAATCCCGGAGGCTGGATCTGCCTCAGTGATAGGGTCCACCCTGAAACCCGGGGCCCCGTAGTAACAAAGGTATCAATACATGGACCTTTGTTCTTGGGTGGGCCCCTATTGTTGCTTTCATAGCTCAATGGATATTGAATATAGCGGCTGGGTGAGGTATTGTGACTAAACATGGGGATTGTCTTTGTTCTGTACTGCAGGCTGGGATGTTCGCTGTTAATGCCCTCACAAGAGGCTGGAGGTGAGCAAGTTGGTGAAGCAGGGCGGCAGCCAGCAGCGAGGCACAACTTGGTATGTTAAGGAACAGACCATTGACTCTCTGGTATTGTTATGGAGTAACACTGAGTGTGGACCCGCATGAACTGAAGTTATTGCATTGTAGCTGTAACTCATCGCTCAGCCGCGGTTCTTGATGCCTTAGGATAGACAGTGGCCATTCTTACAGGCAGACTATAGTAATAGTAACCCATCCTACCATAGTAATAAATAATCTGCTTACAATAATATGGCTATCAGTGCATATCACAACATAGTATCATGAGTACTGTAGAGTAATTAGTTGTGCACTAAATGATCCTATTCGGAGCCATATACATCCCGCATCTCACAGCCAATAATCGGTCCCAGATATAGTACTTCTAACCCGCATCCATCATCCACATCCACCAGACAACCTACATCTACTCTAACTATCCACTATCACTTCATGATTGAGGCCTATCTTCAATCCCAACATAGTTCCATCCACGCCATCATACCTTCTCTAACTAAACCAACACAATGTCCACATCCCCCCTCCTCCGCCTAATCCAAACCGCGACCACCAAATCCCGGCCCAACAACCCTCTCTACACCCTCCAAATATCCTGCCACGTGAAGCCAAACGCCTCAAGCAACCGGGAAGGCATAACCGCCATCGGAACCGACAGGGTAGATGTATGCGTCGCCGCAGTGCCTAGGAAGGGCGAGGCGAATGCAGCCGTGTCGCGTGTTTTGGCGCAGGTTAGCACACCCATCTCTCATTCAAGAATTACCAGATTTCTCTGCAATCCTATTTGAAATATTTAATAACAATAATAAATCCAGATCTTCCAAGTCCCCAAATCCAACGTAGAAGTTATCCGTGGATTAAAGTCCCGAGAAAAGACACTTGCTATTTCGGAGCTGGTTATCGGGAAGCAGAGCGAAGATGAGTATTTACGAAGGGCGCGGGGGATATTAGAGGGGGCTGTAATGCAAAAATAATGGTTTTGGTTAACTGTATATGTAAATATATTTCAATTAATTAATTGGTTAAGCAAATAAATGCCTACTTTATATCTATTTTCATATTCAGTGATTGTTGTACCGCTCCCGCAATCGCGCACCGCCGGCCGTGACATCACATCACGGGGATTTTTCTTTTCTTCCCAAGTTCAACAACAATCTCCGCCCGCATCGCATCGCATCGCATCGCATCGCATATCCTCCAATTCAATCCAACTCAATCCCTACCTACCTCCTTCAACTCACCTCCTATCTACCCACTTCACACCCCTTACAATAATACCCACAATGTCAACAACCACAACATCAAAACGCAAATCTCCCACCACCACCACATCCGACTCCTCCCCCAAAACCATCCACTTCACCTCGCGCACACCAACATGGACATACCTGAAACTCCAATTGTACGTCCCCTATCCCTACCCTACCCTTCTCCTTGTATACTCATTAACCAGAACTCTAACTAACTTAACTAATAGAGTAACCAACCCTCCTTCCACCTCCACATCACCCCTCGACCCCCTCACAGCCCGAACATATCTCTCCGCCGCACTATCGCAGTTCCTCGGGTTAATGGGGACTACTATACCCCTTGATATTCTTAAGGTTTCTCCGCCGCCGTCGTCGTCGTCATCCACCGAAGGAGGGAAAACAGGGGGATCAGGAAGCACAGTATGGGCACGCGTACCGCGCGACGATGCGGCGGCTGTTGTAGCGGCGCTGAGTTCGTGGATTGGAGGGAGTACGGGTACGAATACAAATGGTGGTGGTGATGCGGCAGGGGGGAGCAGTGTGGCGTGGAGGGTGTGTGCGAAGGGGAATTATTTGGGGGCGCTGGTAAATGGGGGTGGGGGGGAGGTGTTTGTTCCGTGATATGGAGAATTTCTGTCGATATGGTTTGGTGGGGGTTGTTGCTGGATGATGGAGTATATAGCTCAATGGTCGCGGACACAGTCTAATGGGGAGTGCCGTCCCGGCGATCGGGCTAGAGTGCGTATAGAGGTTTTGCTTTTTGGTAGAGAAAGGGTCTCACTGTATCTGACGGTCACTGTCTGCGAAGATGGCAGTGGCTGAAGGGGACGGGTGTGGCAAGGATTGTGTTGCGGTGCTGGTGGTATTCCACATTATGGTCGCATTGTATTCATGTACGATATAGCAGCTATGCATATACCCAGTTAAGCAAGTAGTATGATCTATCAAATAGATCCCAAAATATTCACATCGAAAGACCAACCCAAGTATAGTAACGAATGACCGACCCAACCAACCATAGATACACATGATATAATCCTCTTTTTTGTTTAAACAGAACACCAGACTCTCATGCTTGTTGAACACCACCCAAAACATCAATCAAAACAATCTACCCTCTTATCCTTGCTTTTGAACTTTTAACCCATCGCCTCTCTACCACACTAAACAGACTGCTTGCTTCGCACACTTCCTATCATCGTTGCCGCATCCGACATCGCTGCGGACGGGTAATTGGCCACCACCTTCGCCCTCAGAGCGGCGCGAATCTCTTCGACCGAGCGGTCCTTCCATTCAGGGTATCCGGATGTGCTGAGAGGGAAGAGGACGAAGTTGTCCTCGCGCGTGCCGAACTCGTCCAGTTTGGGCGGGGGCATGGCGGTGATGATATCAAGCTCGACGGCGAGCTGGCGGCAGTAAGTATCAAGAGGGAGATCGTTGACATCTTGGCCGAAGGGGTTCTCAATTTCGCTGCCGATGAAGGCGAGTCCAAGAATGATGTAGGCGGCAACTGTTATATTATTAGACCAGAGAATTCTGTTGACTGGATGGGAATACTCACCGACGGAAGCCGGAATGGTCACCCATTCAAGAAAGTCGTACAGCTGGAAGGGCAGCACGAGGACGTAGATCCAGGCAATCTGGGCGATGGAGATGCTGTATGCGGCGGGAAGAGGAGTATCCAGGACGCGTTCGGTGCCGGTGAGGACTTCGTTCAGGGTAGACAGAGCGGTGACTGTGAAAATTAGAAGGTATATTCCGAAAAGTTATTGGGGATGAGGTACATACTGGCTTGTCCTTGGTGGAGACTGACGTTGAGAGTATTGTTGGCGATGCACCGGTCGACGTATGCGGAGAGATGGTTCAAGATCTCAAGAGGAAGATGGCCCAAGGGCTTCTTGGACCGCTTGACAAGCTTTCTCGGGTTGGACTCGGCAAAGGAAACACCCAGGTATTCACCGACTGACTTCCATGGCGTCTTTTTTGGGGGCTGAACCACTTGGCGGTCGTGGGCTTCTTTGGCAAACGTGTCGAGGTGTGCAACCAGACCGGCTAGATCGTCGTAGCCAACATCGGGTTCGAATCGCAGTTTATGTTTGAGGGAAACGGCAAATGCCAGAATGAGATTCATGGCCGTCCTACGCTTGTTAGTATGATTTATGATGACAAGGACATGAAGCGTCTTACAGTTTGGCCAGCAAATCCTCCTTGCCCTCCTCTCCTGCACGTTCTGCCGTGTTGACCCAGATGGTACGTGCGAGGTTGCGAGACGTCTGATTGAGGAGTGCCCAGTACTTTCTTCCATCCGCCCATCTATGGAGATTAACAACTGTTTATCTGTAGGTAAAGGATAAGACATACCTCTCATATGCTGTCGAACTGCGGAAGGACAGCGCCAAACTGACCACGAAACCGGTAACTGTCAAAAGAATATCGTTGATGCCGACTGGTGAAGATAGGGTCAGCGTCCAGTCACAATCTGATCAAGACAAACCTACTGTTGTGGACAAACTTGGAGATGCAGGTAATGACGGTGGCCCAAGCTGCGACAAAGGTAAGTGGCAGAATCATTTTCGGCATGATACTGCCATGCATTCGAAGGAAGATGGGCCATTTGGAGTGTCGATCAAGATCTCGCGGTCCGTGCTATTCATCATCCCGTTAGTCCAAACGGTCCCTCCCAATCCATGACCAGATATTGACATACAAAATATCGATCGATTTCGCTAGAGTTGCGTCTTCCCAACATAAACTGTTTTTCTCTGGAACTGGCGAGGTTCTCCAGAAAAGATGGACGAGGCGTCAAGCGTCCTCGTGGGGGCTCTCTGAGTTCATTTGCTCCGACGCCAGCAGGCACATCATGGTCCGCGGCGGGTGCCAGGTGGTTATCGTGGCTTGCTTCGTCACCCATTATTGGGACTCGAAAATTAGACGGTGGGTTGGGATTCGAAAAGAGGGAGTGATGGTCTCTGGGATTATTAAAAGAACAAAGAAGGGCCTGCCTTCGGGAATGAACGAACGTGAAGAATCAACCCGGGAATAGAGGAACGAACGGGTGATGAACGAAGGTAGATAGCAACGATTGAAAATTCCCGAGAAATGAAGATCGATGGAGAGGACGGTGCGTCAGGAGTTCACTGACGGGGATATCTACTAATATCTAGTGCCGACTTGAACTTATTAATCCCAGACCAACAACTGCCACGCATTGGACATGGGGCAGATCCATAAAACAAAGTTCAGCGCGCTGCTGCCATGGTTGTAACTAGCATACACTCTAAACGGTATGCCCGTATGCCCGTATGCCAGTATGGTATGCTGCGTGTACCGGTACCTGTACAGCCACTGGTGCTGCGTATTGACTGCTATTTTAACTTATTTTTTTCTTCATGGGGATATACAGTGAGCCGTGGTGAGCCAATAGCAAGAGCCCACCGCCGGGAACGCTTGGCGATCCGCTCACTGGGTGCATCTGGCCAATAATGGATGCGGTCCAGACCCCCTGTTTCAGGCGGTTTGGCCGCGCCACGCGGGCCAAAACGTCAGACGGCTGCTTCCGCCCCAGTTAATCCCACGTCTTCATTCGTCTCTCCTTCGCGGCCAGGCCTTCGTGGCACCGCACGAGTCGATTTCTCTCCGTCTCGGCATCGCTGCTGAAACAAAAAGCGAACCCAGTCAAAGAATCAAATTTCCACCCTGGACTGTTCGGGAGATATGAAAGGTCTTTTAGTCCGTGATGCTCTGCTTCTGGAGATAGGTCATTTTCTCATTCACTCTCCAATGTATGATGGCTCTCATCTGCATCAGACTCCCACTCACCTCGGGGATAAATCCAGGAGACGGCACTGTCTTGCGGCAGGATCGTGATCCTGACTACGGTGTATGCCTCGCTGCAGGAACGGCGTAATCCGTGCAATCAACCCGATACCCCTGTCGCTTTCCGCGCGGAGACACCGCATTGCCTCACGGATCGAAGATCAAAGACTTTTCTGATAATCAGTCAATCTATCAATTACGCGCTACTGACTCATCGTGTGCTATTTCAGGGGTGTTTATTACCGATCATTAACCACGAACGCTTCAGGGTCCGATCAAAAGGGGTTCTATGACATTCACAAGTTGTTATGCCGCAGCCGAGGCTACACTGTACTAATTGCTAAGCTATTTTGTGTCGACCTATGAGAAATGACACCGACATTAGCAAGTCTTGACTGCTCGTATTCCGGGTTTCATTACCACCATGCAGGAAGCGTAACTTGAATCGGCCGAATCTTACCATGATCGTAATGATTGATAACAGCGGAGGTCCAAAAACGCCGTGTCACACTTTGGCAGGGAATACTTCTGCAGCCAACTTCTCCAATGTTTTACCATCTGCCCGCTCAGGCAATCACAAAGACTAAGCGCGAAGACCAAAGCACCTGATGACCCATGCCTCGGATAGCCTTCGCCCAACTATTCGTCACAAGTTGTCAACTACAATTGGTCCAAACAAGGGCATTTCATCTCTATATTATTCTTCCAACACAATACTTCGTAGTAATTCTAAACCTTAGATCCAAAATCATCAACAACGCATCCACATCCACCCGACCATTCCGCCACTCTTCAACCGAGATTTTCTCTTAGCTGGACCGGCTATACTTAACTTCATGACCCGTCCGAACCCCAACTTTCCAATCTATAGATAGCACCAGTTACGGACCGTACCAATACTTCTGGTTGAGAATGCTATACCTATTACCTACATCTATTTTTGGTACCAAGCGGGGGGTGGGGAGCGTTAGCATCAGTCGGTAATCGACTTCTTCGGTTCTTCCGCCGTGACATCTCTCTACCCGGTGGAATACCCTAGAGCCGCTTAACGGGGCTGTGCTTGGGCAAGTTGTGTAAAGTGGCGTGTTGAAGTGTTTTTAAATAAAATTCGTCAGTTTGTGTGCTCTATTGTGGTTATTGTCTATTGTTGTGTGTGTCGATTATACGTTTATATATAGAACTCCAGTTTTCGGTCATTAACGTTAATCAAGAGCCTGGCCGAGTTGCATGATTACTAGACTAGAATAAACATTCAATGTCCGAAGTCACCACGTTCTAGTCGGATGGGAGCGAATTAGTATAATGTGCGAAGAATAATACTTATATGTATCAGGAATTACTGCTACAGTATTACTATTACCCCTGTGAAAGAAATAAGTTACTGTAGTGATTCCTCATTGAAGAAACGGTGCATATCGAAAATAGTCTTTTCATAGCCGATAGCAATCATTATAATCCATACCACAACGTGCATAGCCAGATGGACTATTTAGAGTGGAAATTCGCTTAGACTACTACGTAATTCTTCTAGGACAATTATTCTGTGTTTTTTATATATTAATTCATCTATAAAGACTTCTTCCATAGAATCTTCACCAATGTTCATTCAGTGAATATATATTCTCAATAGCAACCGTAATTACAACGACAACCATCACATTAATAAATCGGGATTATTACTGGAAGAATACAATCCAACAAAGCGGATGTCGCGGCCTAGTTATATTGGGTCCTGCAGAAGCCTAATTATTTGTAGTAATGTATTGTCTGAGTCGCACAATACGACTTCAAGCCCTTCATTCCCCACTCACCACCAATTCCACTTTCCTTGCGACCGGACAAGTAACCCTGAGGATGGGGTTTAGCAAAGCTATTCAGCCAGACACTCCCAGATTGAATCTTTGGCGCAAGCCTCTTGCTTGCTTCCACATCCTTGGCCCAGATTGAGCATCCAAGTCCAGTCTTAGTGTCGTTGACTCTTGAGATGAGCCCTGATTCGTCGCTCCATGACAGGAGAGGCACGATAGGACCTGCGTAAATAAACACAACTGAGTTAATGATGAAAATGACTTGGGATAACTGGGCTCACGTACCGAAAGGTTCCTCCGTGACGATTCTTGATCCATCAGGTGGGCGGTCCACGATGGTAGGATGGAAGATATATCCTGGGCCGTTGCTGGGGCCGCCCTCTAAGGCAAAGTTGTATCCTTTTGCCTTGCAGTCCTTGAATATATCTGTGACAACATTGAATTGCATTTCATTCTGAATAGGACCTAGCATGACATCTTCGTCAACGGGTCCCACTTTCCATGTCCTCACAACGTCAACCAGGGCATCCCGAAAGTCATTGTAGATTGCCTCATGGATATAAAGACGCTTGCTGCCAAGACAGAACTGTCCACTGTTGAAGAAAGCACCCAAGGCGACTTGCTGGGCTACGGCTTGAATGTCGACATCTGGGAAGATGATAGCCGGGTCGTTACCGCCCAATTCAAGAGTGCATTCTTTTAATGTGTTGCTTGTTGCAGCCAGGATATGCTTGCCGGCTCTGGTTGATCCCGTGAAACTGATTTTATTGATGTCGGGGTGCAGGGTCATTTCTGGCCCGGTCATGTCATCACCGTTAATGGCCTGGAATACACCTCGGGGCAGAATCGGGATGGCTAATTCGGCCACCTTGAGGATACTGTAGGGGGTGTAGGGAGACGGTTTGACAATCACGGTATTTCCTGCGGCGAGGGCGGCTGCAACCTTGGCCATGGCAAGAACCAATGGAAAGTTCCAGGGAACAATCGCCCCAATAACTCCGAGGGGCATGTATTGCAAGCTTAGCTTAAGAGAGGCATCTTCATGAATAACCTCTTCGGATGGAAGTTTGACATTTGCTATAAACGACGTATTAACCAGTGGTCCGCTTAAAGTAGGGATCTGACGTACCAAAGTAATCCAGAAACCCACATGCGTGGTCAACTTCGAGGGTCGCTTGCATCCTCTGGTATGGTGTTTGAGTAACAAGTCACTGTGTCTGGAGGGGATAGCCTTACTGGTTTGCCTGCTTCTTTCATAAGCAACTCGGCTATATCTTCTTTGCATGACAGAAGAGAATCCCTCAGTTGAGCGATGGAACCCTGACGATCAGACCCTGATACGGCTGACCAGGTGGTAAACGCCTTCTGCGCGGATGCAATAGCATCCTGGAGATCATCCCTCGACGCAATTGGAACATCCCAAAGCTTCTGGCAATTTGATGGATTGATGCTCTGGTGAATTTGTGAAGAGTCCCGGGTCTTTCCATCGATAACATTTGCGAAAGTGCTGAAAAGAAATTGTGCCCTTGCAGGCGAACATAGTGGTCGTTTCTTAGCTATGCTACGCTGCGCGGGAGAAAAAAGAGGTCGCAACATAATGAGTGATGCGGTTGAAGTGAATGAGAGAAAAGTCCTGTGTCACCAAGCTCGACAGTTTCTTGCCTGCCGTTTTTCAATTTTCAATCACCACAGGTACCATGCGAATCTTTAAGCCGAGGCCAATTTCATTGTACATCACAAATGTCCTGATGAGCTCGGGTGTCTTAACAGCCGGCTTAGTCACCGCATTCTTCCATCTAGTTAACTAGCTATATCCAGCCAATGTGATAGGGCGTGACTAGGTTACGCCAAGATGCCTCGGTCAGATTGATGTATCAATGTCCAGCTAGAATTGAGCAAATTCTGATGCTGATCGTTAGCGGAAGCAGTTGATTCGTGGGTGAGGAGGCAATCCCGTAAATCTGCAAGTCCGTATTTCCGAGATCGACAGGTCCACACAAGGTTTAGCCCCTCTACAACTGGATATAACAAGCAGTCGGTGAAGACATTCAGAAAATATTTGAATGTCACCCAGAGTACCAAGCTAGTTTGGCATATACTATGTCCCGAGTGTAATAACCACTTGGATTTGAGTCAATGAATCAGCCGATACGGTAGATACCAAGCTGGGGTGTATCATGAATTGTAGCCATACCATGATCCTAGGTATAAACACCCGGATGCCACTAGTATATCGTATGTTACTAAGATAGTATATGAGTCACCCCGTCTGCTCCGTAGCCATCGATATATCTTTTTGGCCTACTTGGCAGAAACACTATAGTAACATTATACAATCATAAGAATGTCGGAAATGAATCTTTCTCTTCTACTAGTATTTATCTTAACCTTCTCATTCCGTATCTTCTTCTCTCTCTTATACACCCGAGGCTGCGCATGCCTAGTAGTCAATCAATCAATGTTAGGGAATAATCCAAACAGAGTAGAATATATATGCTACTTGCTTAGTGGCAGTTGGGTCTATATCATAATCCACAGTTAGTAGGAGTTATACCCCATAATCAACTGCCGTGTATATTTTAACCGGTTTATTAGAGATAATGTGCAGACTGAGTTGAGCAAGCTTGTTGAGTCAGAATTCATCATATTCTAGTGATATGTGAAATCCGCTGCTAACATTACTGCATATAGTGTCCATTGACTTTCCTGTCTGAGGTGCAGTTGATGGTAACATGTTAATGTGGTAGGAACCTTAGCTACTAGAATCAATTTGGGATGATCCAGAGAAAATAGAGGGGAATGTGAAAGACAAGACATTAATAACTGGGAAAGAGTGGTATATATGTAGAGCTCGAGTATGTTTCAATATATCCGAGTAAATAGGGGAAATACTAAGGTACTATAGCAGTAGTCCGAGAAATGGTAAGCTACATCGTACTCCAAAAGCAAAAGCAATGTAGTCTTCCATGCAGACAAGATTCCTTCCGCCAAAACGAAGGAAAGCGTAGTAAAAAGACCCATTCTCGCCCCTCGGCAAATGTCCGTCATACCAGGAGCTATATTTCCTACCTAATACTCGAAGAGACACCTTATCGCCGAAGCTAAGCTATCCACAGACATCTCCGACAGGAGCTTCCCAGCTGAGCTGAGCTGATATGTCGATCCAACTCCACAATATCTCATTCCTGAGCTCAGGACTCAGAGAAACTTATCCTAGCTTGAGATCGACAGCTCCAGCTTGGCAGTTCTGTGATATGTATCACATGCTATATTGGTATGTTTCAGCTCATACAAGGAAGTGTGTGCTTGTTTGGAGGGATAATCTTTGGGAATCTGTAACTGCTTCTGAAGATCGCAGGATGGGAGTTGTTTCGTGGGTGGCTACATTTTCCGTTTGTGGAGGAGGTTGTTGGGGATAGTAATCAAGGAGCTAAAGGAAGCTTAAGAGCCTGGTGGGGGTGAGGGAGATAGGAATATGAACACGAGATAGCGAATGGGCTTGAGATTAGTCGGGAGTGTGTTCGTAGATCCTTGAAACATGCTTTCTTGCTGCTTGGAGAGTCATGATTTGCTTCATGCTCATGGTTTATCCCAGAGACTGCAGTGACATGATACTAGGCTGAAGAGGGATAAGTGTAGTGTAGTATCCAAGGAGCTAGATGACAATCATATAGCCGAAATTTAACCACGGCATCATGAACAATAGCTCTGCTAATTGCCCTGCATCCCAGCAAGCCACGTCACACAAGATCCGCACATCAGCCTGCCATGAACTGGCATGGTGAATAGTGTCGGTCGATCGATATCAAACTGGCCGCACGTGGCCATATGCAGAGTTCGAATAAGCAAGCAACATTATCTAGAATGAGTAAGGGTGATAAGTAATAGGCACTATAGAAGACGGCGCTCCTTTGTTAAATAATCAGGGTCTTGACATCTTGGCAGGGCACAGGCTATATCCCCCATTATCCCGATAAGGTTCGGGTCCAGAAACGGGATACCGTTGAGGCTCCGACCCAATTTTGAGAACCGCTCCTTCAAAAACCGGAATAGGCAAGAGTACATAATCTACCCCTCGTTCGGAGCATCGGGATCTACTGACAAGGCTGTCAATGTTGATAGTAAGTTCAATGTGGCGAGATTCGATTGTGAAGGCTGATATTTGGTGTTTGAGAGAGTTTTGTTGAAGTTTGTATAGACAAGAACATCGGGATCGAGGGATTATTGCTCTCGGTTGTAAGGAGGAACTTAGATCTCCAAAGCAGATTACTGGGAACGATACTGCAGATTGCCGGATGTCTGGTCGGTCGCGGAAGACGGGCGGATGGATCTGTAACAATATCCTGATCTCCATTCCCTGTAACCATCATGTTGGAAAAGCTTGTCCGAAGCAGCCAAGTCAACAGTTCTGTAGTTTCGTCCTGTCTCATCTTGTTCATGGCAGGGTGCTAGGTTTCGAAGGAGTTTTGGAAATTATTTTACAGACTTTGTGATTTGTTTAAGAGTGAGTCTAGGTGTGAGTACTGTGTAGGTTTGCAGCTGAAACAAAAGGGTGCTTCATGAACAGTGGGCCATTGAGCGTCTGAATCATGTCAGTAGCTGTGTGCCGCTGGCGAGCTGAGCCCGCAAGACTCATTTTCAAACCTGGAGGCAGCGCGGACCCATCTTTCATGTCAGGATCATGATGCAGCAGCCATTGGAATCAGATGTAAACGCAGCTCCTATCATCTCTGTCCCCGAGCCACGATGCGCACAATTTGATTTTCACGGCAGTCGGGCGACCTCAAGGATCTTCAGGTCGAACCAGACTCTTCGTGCCAGGCGGCGATCAACGCTGGACAGCCGGCACCATTCGCGTTAAAGTTTGCGGCTAGTCCTATTTATGGGGCTGGGAACCACTTTAACCGCCGCCAAACGGCGAGCGACAGGAACGTGGGCAAAAGAATGCATCGAAGGATATCCGCGGATAGAAAGGGGTCTAGAAGAAAAGTCTGGGACAGAGAGGGGAAATATCAAAGATGTTCATCGATATTGAAGTTAGTTGCTTGTTGCGAGTTAATTCCGAAATATCGAGACTGAACCATGGGACAGGGACAGTCAGTGTTGCCTGGATTCGTGCCCAAGGAATCTCGTCGATCCTATCATTTTCCGGAAAACCGGGTCCGCTCTGGAACGTGATGACAAAAGTATTGACTCCATCACGAACGGGGGCCTTGAGGACTACCCATGGCTGGTAAGGATCATCAGCAGGTCGGCCTGGTGTTGATGCTTTTTGGAATCCCGGTCCCGTTACGGGAAGATCACCCAGGAAAAGCTACTTTGGCGAGAGGTACCTACCTTCAGCTGGGAGATTATCACGGACTATTGGTAGCAGTCAATCCTTCTCTGATCGATTACTTAATTGGAAAATTTTAGTCTCGCTGGTTTGGTAAGGTATGAAAAAGGAAAGGAATCTAAACTATTCGCTATTAGCAGTTGAATATGGACAAAGATATGTTGAAACGGAAAGTCGGCAGTTGATTGTTTGCCCGAACTGCATTGCCGGTTAGAGTTCCGATCAGTGTTCTCCGAGGGGCAACAAGCGGCAATCCGAGCAGTATTGGCCAGTGTAGGCTGGATCGATGAAGACTACAGAACGATGACATCAATCACCCAAGGAACTTGGATGATCATCGCACAATAGTCTAGTCAGGAGTAGCCAGGACCGTGCAGATACCAACTCGGGCTGTTGCTGCCCGCTGGCGCACACAGAGCCGACACCGATATGGGGACATGGGAGACAATAGTGGTTTGGAGTCTGCAGGTTGAACGGTGTGGTCTATCTTCAGAATTCTACAGAAATTTTTCGGTGTGAATTTCTTTTTTTTCTTCTTCTTTTCAAGGATGCCCACCGCATCTCGCATCATTACCGAATTGGGCCCGCTTATGACTCGTGGGCCATGCAAAGTGCAGCCCTTCCCCATGTCATGCAGGACATCCTTCTACGAGATGGCGATGCTGGTGATGCACCATGCAAGGGGTGCATACAGTAAAGTGATTAGGCTAATGTCGCCATAGTAAGGAGTTTCCGTAGGGCTGGTACCATCAAGATCATTCAGGGTGCACGACAAGCCACCATGGCACTCTGATGCTTTCTGGGAGATTCCACTAATGGTTGGAATTGGAGAGACCAGCCATCTGGGCCGAATGAGGGGAAGACTTTCTGGGAGTATTTTGGGAGGGAAAAAAGCGTGCGGGGCAATCTGGCGCTCACCCGAAAGCGGAAAGGCTCGCGCGCGAGTTCTTGCTGGGAGTCAAATCCACGACCGAACGGAGTACACTAGAATATGGAGTACAGTAGCATTGTGTTGTTTAGTTCGTTTGGACTAAACACCAGAATGGATTGGCGTGCCGCAAGTAAGTGGGATTCCGGTGGAGTCACCGCTGCTGGTGGTGGTCTTTCCTCATTCAGCCTGCCCTTGTCCTGGAGCTTCTGACAGACTCCTGCTCCTGCTGCTCCTCCTGGATAGTTAGTACGTACTCTTACTCTCTCCGCTCGTGCCAGGTCAATGGCAACCCCCCCTCGAAGCTCGACGCTAACTTTTCCCATCCTGTAATTAGATTGTGGATCTCGCATCCTTTGCTCCAACTGATTTTCTCTCTCACGTCCGCTGTCTGAAGGACCAGAATTCCCTCCATGGGCTTCCTCAGTGGCCTCGGCTGCAGTCGTCCTGCCCCCATTCCCGAACTACCCTCATCTCTCCTCGCTGAAGTCACAACCTAAGTTTTGCACATCCTTTCCCCCGAATGGAGTGAGTGCTGAACCAGGAGTGCACCCCTGCCCGCAAATTTCAGACGAGCTAACTGGTTTGACTTTCTGGTCCGGGTCCAATTTAGATCCCTAATCCCAATTGACATTTCCGCCCAGCAAGCCCATTCAAATGGCTCAAAATGCTCAGATCGCCCCCCTGGCATGTGGAGAAGACCGTGAACGACGGGTCGATGGATCTGCCTATCATTGTCCTGTGCTGGCTTGGTACCCCGGCAATCCTCGGTTCTGCGACTCCTTCTTGCCATCGGTTGGATAAAATGGTCTGCGGTGGAGGTCGGTCCGCTTCCAGTCTCATTGGAGGAGTTAACTTCCCGCTTGGCCGGGATATTGGATCTGAAATTGAACAAATCCATTAAACTCAAAATGACACACAGAAATAAACTCCCTAGTCCATGGTTAGCGAAGGGACCATTTATGTCGCAACTTGTCTAGGCCAGGGGTGGGGACTCGCCATCGTGGTATATCATCTCTCTAGTTCCCCTCGGCGATAGTGCCGACAACATAGGTGGCCCTCGTGCATATTCAGTCGGCCACGGCTGACTACCTTCGCTTTTGACAACACTTCAGATTGATCTTGATTGTGACGATGGCCAATGCGACTCTCGACTGCTCGACTGGGGGTTGCTGATGGTTGACCACACTTTTCGACAATCGCGACAACAATACGGCAACATACAACAAGTGCCACGACCTTTCAACATTTTACATCCTATTACTTTCGCTACTATCACTGTTATAATTCGCCAGCATGCTTCTCCCTCCGGCCGAGGTTCTGGCCACATGGCCCACGCCCAACTACGTCGACCCGGTGACTCGCGGGCCTGCCGTGAATATCGTGAACATCGTCCTTATTTCCATCGCATTCGTCGTGACTGTCCTCCGTCTTTACACACGTTTCAAGATAACTTGCACACCTGGTCTTGATGACTTCTTCATTGTCATCGCTTTTGTACGTCTAAAGATGCATCTATGCTGGGGTTACTGGCCTGTCTAACACTTCCTAGGCTATCGCAGTCGGCATGTGTGCGGTTACTTCTCTGGCAACTGAGCGCTGGGGTGCGAACCGGCATGTGTGGGACGTACCCTTGTCCTGGCTTCCCGTCGTCACCAAATACAACCTCGGCTTTCAGATTACATTTTCTCTATCCTGTTCTATCACCAAGCTTTCGGTTCTGTGGTTCTGCAAGCGCCTCATCGGAACGGGTAGTAAGGGACTGTACAGGGTCTACAACATTGTCGTGATTGTCTCCTTCATCTTTGTGGCCTTGTGCTGCATTGTCTTTCTGTTGGTCAGCATCTTTCAGTGCTCGTGAGTGCCTCCGTCCCTCGACCCACTGCGGACATTGACTAATTGTGCTGCTATCAGGCCTATCCATGCATACTGGGACTTGGAGCCAATGTATCCTTATCATTGCGTCAATTATGGCGCAGCCGTATTCTCTGCGAGTGTTGTCAACATCTTCACCGATTTCCTCTGCACTCTGGTCCCGATGCCCTTGATCTGGAACCTGAAGTTACCTGCCCGGCAGCGGATGGCCGTGATTTCGATCTTCGGTCTGGGTATCTTCGTCAACGTGGCGGGTACGGTGCGCACAGTATATGTCTGGAAGAGTATGATGGCCTCCTATGACACTACCTGGATGGCATGGCCTATCCTGCTCGCCGGATCGATCGAAATCAACTTGGCACTGGTATGATGACCCTCACAACATGTGCTCGTTTCACGGCTAACTCTGTATTTAGATCTGTGCCTCTGCGCCTGCACTGAGACCTCTTATCGGATTTGTCTTACCCCATCTTCTCCCGTCCGCTCGTGGCTATGGATCCTCATTCGGCAACCGGGAGTTGAAGGGGTGGTCTTCCACTGGGCCGTCCAAGCAGTCTCGTGCTTCCAAAATGATCGAAGATCGCCAGTATGGCTACCAGGGCGACACCACGGTGGATCGTATGGAGGTCCTGCGCACTGTTGAGATGGAGACATGGACCGAGAATCGGAGACCCAGCCATAGCAACAACTCCCAGGTCACGTCGAATCACACGCGCGTCGCAACCCCGACGCACCACGTCGACTTGAAGAACACTGGTGTGGTCTATACGTCGCCTGGTAGCGACGTCTCCTCCACCTCACTCACCCGTGACTCCAAGGAGCAACACACATTTTACGAACACCAGAACCCCGTCTAGGGTCTCACGCTCTCTCTATCTTTCCTTTTCTTTCTTCCATTCCCCTTAATGCAACAAGGGAAAGTCATCTGGTTATGAATTGAGTAATGAACATGTATAACTTACTACCTATGTATACTTTTTCTGAGGCTGGAGTCATGTACCTATAGTATACAGAACACACATCACGAATATGATATACCACACACAACCATCACGCGACCGTCTTTCGCGGCCATCTCAGCCCATCCGATATTAAGTGTCACCAATTCCTTCCGTAAACGGAGTGGGTCTTTGGCTCCACTGCAATTACTTTTAGGTCAAGACTCCACTCATGCCTCGCATACGCCTAACTCCGATGCCAGTATGGCCTGATCCGATCCTATACAGTCCCCATCGAGTCCCGCTTCTACGTACTGCGTACTCCGTATCCATCCATGATTTTTACTTAATAGACAGTAATATTATCATCCGCCTGCAGGGATCCCTCCCTCAGTGCAGCACGCACAGTCACTACGGCTCGGGCCTACCGAAATGAGAGCCCGTGTCCGCGCTCCATCGGATGGATAATTATTGATCCCTTGATTTTTCATCTGATAATATCTCATCCCTGAAGCTGGCCGGCAACTCCTGACCTATCTAGATGGGTGACTGCCGTGCTGTAGACTAGTAATAAACTACGGGCCCGTCTTGCATATGATGCAGGTACGGGTGTCATTAAAATCTGACAGTGGATGAGGGATGAGGGGGTCGAGGGGTAGTTATTTCTACTACGTGGTTTGTTGAGGAATTATTGTGTCTCCTTCTCTGTTTCTCATGGACTAGAAAGAGGGGCCTGGCCTACTTAGTTGTCAGTTTTATTTTCCAATTGTGGGTGTGTGTGGGTGTGTGGGAGAGGGGCACAGATTCTCTCTATTTCCACCCCACCTCCAAGAGAAGGTCTAGACATCGGACTATCGTGTACACTGTACACTACACTACGCTACACTAGATAGTAGTAATTGGTCTAGACTATAATACTGAGATTATGATCGTGATTGAATAGTTACCTGTTCAGCTCAGCTGCATCGGAGATTAATCGGAGATTAAAGCAGGAGGGTCCGTGTGTGCATATGTATCTAGTAGATCGTATTTGGAATTTTAAGGGTATAATATGGTGTGCTATACCCCGCTTCAGCTTTGGTGTTGGGATTGTGAGGATTAGAGAAGATGGAGATGTCTGAGTAAGACAAGAGGGAGCTGGATGGATTTAAAGTTGACAAATCAAGTTGACCAAGGGTTGTGGGGGAGTAAGACCACTTTTGTGGGTGTGTGACTGCCTGGTTCGGTTGTTCTTTTTCTTGTTGGTCTTGGTGTTAGAGAGAGCTTGAATTTGGTTGTTCTTATGGTTAGACTAATGGTCTAGCTTTTCACCCTTGTATTGTCCGTTTCCTTTAGCTTATTCTAGTTTATTCCTTGTATATTTAAAAATGGAGGCATTGAGTATATACCTCTGCGTATTTATTTGCCGTGGTTGACATTGACCACTATGTGCAGGATCTTATCGGGTGGCTTATGGGTGGACGGCCATGTTTTAGCTCGAATCGATCATGGAGCTAATTAATTCATAAAGATATAAATGCAAAGTCGGGAGAGCCGCTAATACTGTTCCTTACAGGTCATCATTGTTGGCATATATAATACGAATTCTAAAAGGCCTGAAGGCTTGATCATCAGGGACTTAGATTCTTGTCTGATTGGCTCTGATATTCATATTTTCAGTTATGCTTGTTTTATTGGATTATCGCATGCTGAACTGCTTCGTTTGTCGCTAGATGTTAGATAATAGTCTGGTCTCCTGCCATTGTGCTCCCTTTTTCACATTATTTGTGAGCCCCCCATTGACTACTACTCTGGGTTCTCTCGGGTCTAATCTAATCTAATCTAATCTAACAAATGTAGAACTTTCTTGTGCATGGCTTAGCTGTCGGCGCTTTTCTTTTAGCTGTACCAACTAGATTCTTATCAGCTGAGCCATGGTTATCTCGATGTAAAGTCTGTAGCTATAGATCTTTACGTGTCGTTCCAATTATGATTTATAATAAATCTTTACTCACGGAAAGTGTATCCGAGGAAAGTGTCATATCCGAGGAAGGTATATCCGAGGAAAGACTATCCGGAAGAAGTATTCCGTATATTACATGAAAAGAACATAACTATCTGGTCTTAATAAATTTCTTGTCTGTTTGACTGAGTTCATTACTACTTGCTGTAGATTGTCAATTGGTAAATATCTATTCATATTAAGATAAGATCCAGATAGCTGTACACTTATTATTTTACTAAGAGATCATCCAGGACGTTATACACATATTGTGAAAGTCATGTATATCTAGAATCTACACCAGGTTCCGTACTACGGAGATGATATATTTTCTTACTATCCTTTACAATAACTGATATTAAGGGAGATCGCAAAGCGAGACCCCTATTATCTTGCTCTATAGTAGTATGATTACATAGTAGTAGTTTGGATGATGCTAGTGTGAATCAGGGTAGTAGGATGTATACATGCCACTACTAGTGCATAAGCAAATTGTTTCGCTGCAATTGCCATTTACTTATCCAATTATGATATCGCCGCTTTTATGAGAGCAGCACGTGAACGGTCTGTGTACACTTTATGACACTCACAGATTACTCACAGAACACGCACTTTCAGGATCCCATCCTGGTCTGCTTCAGGAGTGAATCCTCCGGATTTAAACTGCTAGGCAGTATCCAATCGAGATGCCGGCACATCATTGACACTAGAGGACAGCGACATGGATGTCGCACAGGGTACCAGTAGTGATATATCGGTTACCACGGCAACTCCTTCCCATCGTACTGGTTCATACCTGGGTTATTTTCCCATCCCGGTACGAGGATATTGAGAAATCGTCCATTCTTTTCTTTGCCGGTGGTGAGAACAGCATCCAGAACAGCGGAAACGCCAGTGTCGACTGGAAGATCCGCATCATCGCTTCCCATATCGGTCTTCAGCCACTATTTTTTGGTCAACGATTGGTCTATTGAATGGAGATGACTTCAGGTAAGATGGGGCGGCTTACACCAGGGCTCACACAGAATACGGTGAAACCCTCAGCCTCCAACTCTTGGGAGTAGAGTACGGTGAGCATGTTCAATGCAGCTTTCGAGATTTTGTAGGAGGGTGTAGGCATCGCTCTATATGTTGGCTGCAACTGGATAGAGCCTACACTTGTCGAGCTGAATAGGAAGCTATTGTTAATAGTAGGACATCGGAAGAATTTGGGTGGATCATGTACATATTGACGATTCTTTTCTTATTTCCGTTTCTTAGAAGGGGGAGGAATTCTCTTGTGACAAGATGAACCCCTCCCACATTGACGCGGAGTGTATCTTCTAAATCGTCCCTATAAAGAAAGTATTAGAACACACTGCTTTGCTAGGACAGCTTAAAGCCAAGCGGGACGTATAGGGCAAGTAAATACAGACATATTCTCAACAGTGCCAGGCGTCATTACACCCGCGTTGTTGATTAGCACATCCAGGCCTTTTCCATTGAGGGCAGTCGCAACATGTGTCACGGCGTTCTTGACACTCTCTTTCTCTGTGACATCCAGAGGCACGAAGATTACCCGATCCGGGTGCTGTTGCAAGAGCTCCTGAAAAAGAGGGCCTCCAGAAGTCCTGGCAGCAGCGGAGATAGTCTGAACAGTTTCGCTTGTTTTGGCGGCCAACTGACGAACCAATTCGAGTCCAATGCCACGAGAGGCGCCGGTGACAAGGTAAGTACTCATGTTGTAAGTTGGGGTAACTAGGAATTAAAGAAGGGAATGTTGGTCGGGTCAAAAGCACTTTCAGGAAGATCTGCTGTCCGGGATTAGGGTTCAATTGATGACCTTTTAAATATGCGCGATATCGTTCTGGACCGGAGGCTTCGGAACAGCATCTTCTGGTCATGGCTTACAAAGTACTAACACGAGGCCACAGACACCTCAATCTTGCCCGTTCCGCCACTCTGAAGCCATCCGGAATTAACCACGGGGATATGGGGGGCGAAAAAAAGGGAAATATTAATGCCATGTTTGACAACACTCGCCCAATAGGGAAGATTGTGGAGCTCGAGACCCTCAGATTGGATCGCATTGCCGCTAAATGCTGACCAGCATCTTTTATCTCTGGATTCTTGTTATTGCCGAGTGGCTGCCAAATTAATAATGTAATAGTCAGCCAAACGAGTCAGGCAAGCTGTTATAGGACTGATGGCTCCAGTATAAGAAGCTCCGCCCTATGCACCTATTGGTGCCTGAGGTCTCACATACTTTTAAGCGAACTGAACAAACTAGGATTCCGTATGAATATAAGAAATAGCTGGAAGGCTATCTCATCTTGTTCAAAGGCACGTTCGATTAGCACGATCTATCCGTCCTAGATATGGCAGGGCTTGCTCGAAAAGCTCGGGATCGCCCGGCTCGGCTTGTGCCAAGATGACCCGAGCCTGCTTATTTAAGGCTTGCGATTTGATACTATTGGTGCTCAAGAGTATGTTGATACTCAAAAGTTTGGCTCAAATATAAAAGAATCATTAAAATAAGGCTCAATATTTTATAAGGACCAGGATAATGATGGACAACCCGGCTGGACAGAAGTACAATACTTGATATTGTTAGTGCACAGTTTATTTAGATCACATAGCTAGATTATGTAAGCTTAGACAAGCGCTCAGAATAACAGTCACTTTCTCTAATATATTCTCCTGGGGCAATCCAAGATCATTCAGGGATTGCTCAAAACATATACTTTTGTACTTCTCTTATACTCCAGGCCACTCAGTGAACAAGAAGCAGCGCCACGTTCAACCTAAAGTGGAAAGGGGAAGTCACTCAATTTTCGCAGAAATCCAATTCAGTAGCAGTACGGCTAGTTGCAATATATATACCAAGCAGCACAACCATTGAGAACAAGTTCTTACTACTGAAGCTATCGGACAATCCAGCAGTATTTCCAGCTATAGTGACGGCATCAAACCATTTACTTATTCTATACTTCATCTAAGCAATTGTTCTTATTAGCAATTGGCTATCTTTGGAACGGCGGTGATGGCATCGGAGTTCGCAGCGAGAGATGGGCTGCTTATCGCCCACCCCTGCCACTGATAAGCGATGCAGATCTGATATGTTCTCAACACATTGACCAGTCGCATCTTATGGCTATTGCCACTCCACCGTCATCGGCAGCCGGCGGAAGAGGCAAGCAGATTGCATCAACAGAGAACATCTTCATCTGAATGATTGGATTATGGAATTCCTATTATCATTGGGAATTATCATGCTGAACGGCGACTCTCCGGATGGGTTGGCAAGTCGCCGAGCACGGGGCCAACACGATCGCTGATTGGTGCAAAACGCCGAAGCAGCTGTACGGCGCGGGGCAGCTTCCAATCCATCGCGAGCTCTCCTTTAACAGCTGCCCCCTCGCTTCCATTTAAAAGCCCTTCGCGCGGCCATTTTTCTCGTGCTTTATCTTCTCTCCCCATAGTCATCTCAATTGCACCAGTTGAAGCTATAATCGGTGCTGGTTTGCTGCTTGTCTGGTTGAGCATCGATCGAGGAGCTCCTTATCAATCATCATTGCGTTATCGTCATCGTATCCTTCCCCACATCCCTGATTTCCAGCTGGGTATTTCTGTGCCCCTGGCCACCCCAACTCATTCCTTTTTCTCAGACCCATCTCCTCTCCATTAATTCATCACAATGGCTGCCATCTTCCGTTCCAGCTTGAGACTTCGCCCGACGACGCGCCTGTCGGCCGTCCGCACCCTCACCACTACTCCGCACATGCGCGCTGCGGAGAAGCCTTATTTCCCCGATGAGCCATCCGCTCCCAAGCTGGCCACGGCCATTCCTGGCCCCAACAACAAGGCGGCTGCTGCGAAGCTCGACAAGGTCTTTGACGTCCGCAGCTTGAACATGCTCGCGGACTACTACAAGTCCAACGGTAACTAGCAAGTCAACCTGCATTTATCTCACCCCTTGCGGGCAAGACCGCCGAACGAGCACTAACTTTGACACAGCATTGCCGATCTGGACGGAAACGTGCTTCTAGATGTGTAAGCTACTACAATTAGCCTGTGGTTATTTTGCGAGAATGCGCTCGAATGGTTTCTAACATATATTGTCCTCAGCTATGCTCAGATTGCCTCTATCCCCGTCGGCTACAACAACCCCCACCTCCGCAAGGTGGCAGAATCTCCGGAGATGGTCAATGCTTTGATCAACAGACCGGCTCTGGGTAACTTCCCCTCTCACGACTGGGCTGACATCCTGGACACTGGTATCCTCAAGGCCGCCCCCAAGGGCCTTAACCAGGTGTTTACCGCCCTGGCTGGCTCGGATGCCAACGAGACTGCCTACAAGGCTGCCTTTATGTACTACCGTCAGCGCGAGCGTGGTGGCGCTGAGACCGAGTTCACCGAAGAGGAGCTGGAGACCACCATGAAGAACCAGTCCCCTGGTTCCCCTCAGCTGTCCATCATGTCCTTCAAGTCGGCGTTCCACGGTCGCCTGTTCGGCAGTCTGTCTACCACTCGCAGCAAGCCCATCCACAAGCTGGATATCCCCGCCTTTGACTGGCCCCAGGCTCCTTTCCCCTCCCTGAAGTACCCCTTGGAGGAGCACGCCCAGGAGAACGCCCAGGAAGAGCAGCGTTGCCTGCAGGAGACCGAGCGTCTGATCAAGGAGTGGCACAACCCCGTCGCTGCGGTCGTTGTCGAGCCCATCCAGTCGGAGGGTGGTGACAACCACGCCTCCCCGGCCTTCTTCCGTGGCCTGCGTGAGATTACCAAGCGCAACAACGTCCTCTTCATTGTCGATGAGGTGCAGACTGGTGTGGGTGCCACCGGCAAGTTCTGGGCCCACGACCACTGGAACCTGGAGACTCCCCCTGACATGGTGACCTTCTCCAAGAAGGCCCAGACTGCCGGTTACTACTATGGCAACCCGGCTCTGCGTCCCAACAAGCCTTACCGTCAGTTCAACACCTGGATGGGTGACCCGGCTCGTGCTCTGATCTTCCGTGGCATCATCGAGGAGATTGAGCGCCTGAACCTGGTGGAGAATACTGCTGCCACCGGTGACTACCTCTTCTCCGGCCTGGAGCGTCTCGCCAAGCAGTACCCCGAGCACCTGCAGAACCTGCGTGGTAAGGGCCAGGGAACCTTCATTGCCTGGGATACCCCCAAGCGTGACGAGTTCCTGGTCAAGGCCAAGGGCGTTGGCGTCAACATTGGTGGTAGCGGCCAGAGCGCCGTCCGCCTGAGGCCCATGCTGGTCTTCCAGAAGCACCATGGTAAGTCGGCCCTAGATTCGGGTTAACAAGATAAGACACTAACATGTTGCAGCTGATATCCTCCTGGAGAGCGTTGAGAAGATCATTAAGCAGCTGTAAGCGCGCAGTTGATTTTATTGAACTCTAGTCTGTGACTTTTGGCGTTATAACGGTATTGGGATGGGGCAATTTGTTTTCGAGATATCTTTAGCCAATATTTATATGGCAATTTGCGCTACGATTTATGGCATTGAAGCTAGTCTAGTCATTAAGCAACGAAGTGATGCCGTCAAGGCAGCGTTGATCTTGATCTATTGTCCGGGTATCCAGTAGACATCCCCCTTTGTAATTATAAACAGCGTGCAGAATCATACCAACCCGACAAACCCCGTACCGTACATAATAGAAAGCGAGAAATATAAATCCGAAACTCCAATCGTGCAAATCGAGAAAGAAGGCCAAAACCATCTCCCTATCGAGAAAATATCGCTATGCCGTGCAAGATAGAGAACCGACATATCGCAACAAAAGCAGCGAAGAATTGTGTGAAAAGAGCTGAGCAGACAGCGATCGATCACGCCTCCTCTTCACCCGTGCTACCATCCCTCCTGTATCGAGACACATAATAATCAGCACTCATCAATTAATCCAACACGCAACACACAACGCAAAGACATGCAAAGAAGGAATAGAAGGGCAACATACGGAATATACTTGACACCCGAATCCTCCAAACTGGAAATAATCTCATCGGGAAGCTGTTCACCCATCACCGTTAGCCCAATATTCTCTTCACCACCACCCCCGGACATAATTGAAGTTCAGTATGGGTGGGCGAGAGTACTCACCGATCCCGTAACCTTAACCGCATACGTCCCCGGCACATAACTATCCAATCTCTGCCACCTAGCCACCCAGCTCGTTGTGGGATCGCGGAGCGTCACCAGGCCCTCGAAGACCTGCGACGTGCATTCTTGGATCGCGTCGTTGTTGCCGCGGAGGCCGAGGACATTGTCGCAGTTGGGACAGCCTTCGCGCATGAATTTCTAAGCAGTAAGAAAGGAGAAAATGTTAGTTGTTGTTCGGGTTAGGTTGGGTTGGTTTTAATTGGGAGGTAGCAGCTGAACGTACGCTGTGCAGTTGAACGAGCGAGCACACCATGCAGGCGCGGAGAGTGCGCTGCTGGCTGGGGGCGACGTAGAAGGACATCTTTATTTCCCTTTTTGATTTTCAGGGTCGGAGTTGATAGACAAGGTAGGGAGGGTGAGAGGGTGTTGGGAAGTAGGCAAGATGCATGCGGCAAGACAAGAGGGTTCTGGAATCGGAGGCGCGCCAAGACCACCAGGCCGGAGAAAAGTGACGGGGAAACGAAGGGAAGCAAGTCAATCAATCAGTCAGTCAGTCAATCATCATCGACCCGAGTCTACGCCTGGAAAGTTGAATCCAGGAACGGGCGAGCCGAGGAAAAGTTTCAGGAACTTTCTTTTCTTTTTTGCCTTCTCTATTATTTTCATTTCTTTTTTTATAAACGCTTCTGCTTTCCTTTAATATACTGACTAGATTTCTGCGAACGTCCCGCTCTCGTGCTCTCTTGCCCAAAAACCCCTCCTTTCGTTAAACGCTTCTTTTGCGCCGATGGCTTCCCCCGATCTCGAGGCCGCCACTGCCCTCAAGGTGCAGGGGAACAAGGCCTTCGCGGAACATGAGTGGCCTACTGCCATAGATTTTTACTCGAGAGCCATTGAGAAGTATGATAAGGAGCCGTCGTTCTTTAGTAACCGCGCTCAGGTAGGTGGCGCTACTGCTGAAACTGGTGGAGGTGTTGAAGATACTGACTGTTTCTGGGGTTCCTGGTTAGGCACATATCAAACTTGAGGCTTACGGTTTTGCGATCGCTGATGCCTCCAAGGCACTGGAGCTTGACTCCAACTATGTCAAGGTTCGTTGGGATGCTGCTGGTTGTTGCTACTGTTGTTCGCCTTTGACTTACCCAACCCCGTTGCTAGGCCTATTGGCGCCGCGCCCTTGCGAACTCCGCTATTCTGAACTACAAGGAAGCCCTGAAAGACTTCAAGGCCGTGATCAAGAGAGAGCCCAACAACCGTGATGCCAAGCTAAAGCTCACCGAGTGCGAGAAGCTCGTTCGTCGGCTCGAGTTCGAGAAGGCGATCGAGGTCGGTGACCCGCCCTCTGCTTTCGAGGACCTGGATATCGATGCGATGGTTGTGGATGACAAGTATGATGGTGTGCGCTTGGAGAAGGAAATGACGCAGGAGTTCATTGATGATATGATTGAGCGGTTCAAGAACGGGAAGAAGATCCATCGCAAATATGCTTTCCAAATAATTAAGGCCGTCAAGGATCTTGTCTATGCGGAACCGACGATGGTGGAGGTTGGTGTTAAGGAGGGTACTAGGTTGACGGTTTGCGGTGACACTCATGGTCAATTCTTCGATCTCCTCGAGATCTTCCGCCTGAACGGGTACCCTAGCGATACCCATGCTTATCTCTTCAACGGTGACTTCGTGGACCGTGGATCGTGGTCGACGGAGATTGCTCTTCTGCTCTACGCCTACAAGTGGCTGCGGCCCAACGGAATCTTCCTGAACCGTGGGAACCACGAGACGGACGACATGAACAAGGTGTATGGCTTTGAGGGCGAGTGCAAGGCCAAGTACAATGAGACGGTGTTCAAGGTCTTCTCCGAGTCCTTCTCGGCTCTGCCGCTGGCTACGTTGATCGGCAACAAGTACCTCGTGCTCCACGGCGGTCTCTTCTCGGATGACAACACTACTCTGGATGATATCCGCAAGCTGAACCGTCACAACCAGCGCCAGCCCGGACAACAGGGCTTGATGATGGAAATGCTGTGGACAGACCCGCAGACCGCGCCCGGTCGCGGACCCAGCAAGCGTGGTGTTGGTCTTCAGTTTGGTCCGGACGTCACCAAGCGCTTCTGTGAGAAGAATGGTCTGGAGGCAATCATTCGTTCGCACGAGGTGCGCATGGAGGGCTACGAGGTCGAGCACGACGGACGGTGTATCACCGTCTTCTCTGCTCCGAAGTACTGCGACACCACGGAGAACAAGGGAGCCTTTATCAAGATCGGGCCCGAGCTCAAGCTTGAGTACCAGGTGTTTGAGGCTGTTCCTCACCCGGATATTAAGCCGATGGTAAGTTTATCTTAATGAGAAGTCCGGACTGGCATGCTAATGACAACTTCCAGGCGTATGCGCAAAACTCTCTCATGTCCTCGATGATGTGAGAGGCTTAACTGCTCTGCAAGCTGGCGTTCATGGGATGGATTGGGAGCGAGTCAATCTCGCCGATCGGACGGGACATGATACATATACACACACATTTCAGGATGGGACCTGCGACGTTCAGATGAGAAGAAGAAGATGCGGAAAGCCTTGGATTACACAGTACGAGGGCCATGTATCTACGGATGATTGACGACGATCTCGTGAACTCTTTGCATAGCGGAAATCTATCTATCTTGCTACTTATATGTTATTTTCGAGGTTATCAAGCTGTATGTCTTTGCTGTTGAGTTGTCCCGCATGTGCAGGTCTGGCGGCGTTGGATTGGCTGTCGCACAGGGAATTGTTGGACGAATTGGTTCTTGTGTTGCGTCTTGTCTTCCAGTCGGAATTCTGCGTCCATTTAATTAGATAGAAGATGGGGAAGAAATAAATGAATGAATGAATGGATGAGGTCTAAAAGTGTCTGTCGGTGCAGAGAATCCCGACCGCAGGGACCCCGCGATTCCCAACCGACGTCTTGTTTGTTTCTCGCTCTTCATCTTGGCTCGCACTCTTTCCTCTCTTTCTTCTTCTCTGCTTCTCTCTTTGAGTTATTCCTATCTATTTAATCACATAATCATTTTCTTCATCATGGAATACGATCCTAAGGCCCGTGAGTGACAATGACTGCCCCTCTTCCTGCAGCCCAAACTAACCCCGCCTTCCCCTCCGCAGCGCAGTATCTCACCTCCGACAAGTCCAGCTTCGCCTCGGTCTCGGCCCACGAACGCTGGCCGGTCATCTTGGTATGCTCCTTGCAATCTAAACTATTGCAGTACATGCCTCGACTAATACACTTCATATACAGACTGGCGCGATTGATGATCTGCACCGCAGCGTTGCCGATGTAACCGACGAGGAGAAGCGTCAGGAAGGGAAAGCGATCATTGGGAGCCTCGCAGCTTTCAAATATGAGCTGCAGCACAACAGACAGTTGACGTGAGATCAATATCCCCGTCTACACGATCTCCATAAACAAAGCAGGCATTGACTCAGCTACAGCCCTCTCCCCGACGACGGCCAGCCCGACATTGCGGCGTACAACCAGGAGCTGGAGCAGCGGGGAAACCCTTCATGGCACGACGTCGCATGGCTCTACTCAGAATGCTACCTCTGTGCGTGCAATTGGCATACCTCCATACATACACCCCAGCTGACACCCACCCAGACAGACGCCTGAGCACCTTCTTCTCCCTCTCCAAGCACTGGAAGGGCTATGACGTGTTCGCCCGCCAGAAGATGTCCACCTTCAAGTCATCTCGCCCCGCCGTCCTCGAACTCGCCGCACGATACAAGGAACTGGCCGAGGAAGCAAGCAAGGGCACGGAGGGCAAGACCCCGGAGCAGATCGAGCAAGCCGACCGCATCCTCTTTTCCGAGATGTGCGAGATCTGCCTCTGGGGCAATGCCACTGACCTCTCCCTCCTCACCTCCCTCACCTACGAAGACATCCAGAAGCTCCAGGGCTCGGAAGCCCGCAAGGCCTCGGAGAAGAATATCCTCGTCAACGACCTCAACGCCTCCTTCGACGTCCTGCACCAGGCCCGCCGTGACCGCAAGAATCAGGATCGCCGCGTCGACATCGTCCTCGACAACTCCGGCTTCGAGCTCTTCGTCGACCTCATCCTCGCCGGCTACCTCCTCTCCGCCGGCCTCGCAACCACTGTCGTCCTCCACCCCAAGAACATCCCCTGGTTCGTCTCCGACGTCACTCCCCCGGACTTCGCCGCCCTCATCGCCGCCCTCTCCGACCCGCAGGCCTTCTACACTGCCCCCGACGAGTCCGGCAAGAGCTTCGACCCCCTCTCGGAGAAGGAAGTCTCCGAAGTCAAATTCCTCTTCGACCACTGGAGCCACCTCCACGCGGAAGGAAAGCTGATCATCCGTCCTCACACCTTCTGGACTACCCCAGGAAGCTACTGGCGCATGCCATATGTAGCCCCGGACCTCTTCAGCGACCTGAAGGACAGCGAATTGGTCTTGTTCAAGGGTGACTTGAACTACCGCAAGTTGACCAACGATGTACGTCCCCTCCATCCATCACCACCCTTCTTAAGTTCTGATCTAATATTATGTACAGGCTGCCTGGGACCCCACAACCCCCTTCACAGAAGCCATCGGCCCACTGGGCCCGCAATCCGGCGTCCGCGTCATGGCTTTCCGCACCTGCAAGGCCGATGTGGTGGTTGGTCTGCCCAAGGGTGTGGATGAGGAGCTCCGCCAGATGCCTAACGGTGGGGGCGACGAGGCGCGGAAGTGGGCGTGGAGTGGGAAGTGGGCTGTTGTGTCGTTTTGTGATGGGAAGGCTTAGATGTTGCGTAGATGTTATATTAGATGATAAATCATTGATAGATATGAATGGACTGATAGATGGAGATGGGATACACTAAGTTATTATTTGTTATACACTTCTTCTGCCGTGCAAAGTAAGTACGTATTAGAGACTAAACAAGACTACGTAGTTGACTCTACTTCTGAATTGAAAAGAGAGTGTGTGGAGGGAAATAAGAACTAAAAATTACGTACGATCAACGGACTAGAGCTAAGTAGTGAGTGAGTGACAGTGACATCAACATCAACAGAGGAAAAGGAACACCCGGATCAGAGCAAAGCAGACCAGACCATATCACCAGACCACCAACAACAAAAGACAGATCAGATCAGATCAGATCAGACAACAAGGAGAGGTATTTCCATGATCACAACACAAAGGGGAAAGGTGGTTGAAGTATCAAAGCAAACCGTGACTAGAGAGGGAGTTTCATCCATCCATCCACCATCCGTCCATTTCACTCCGTACCGTTCCCATC